GACAGAAGAAGAACATCAGTATAACATCAGCTGGTGTCAAACCTCCAACAGGTCCAGTAACAGCTCAGTGGGTCAGTCTATGAATAGTTAAACTCAAAGTGTTGTTTGTGCCCCACCAATGTGAAGACGAGAGGGAGCTTCTGTTCCTGTCAACACACACACACACACACACACACACACACACACACACACACACACACACACACTCAGCTTGTCTTACAGCTGATGGTCAACAACAACAACATGTTCAACAAGGTCTACGTTCATTCAAAACTAGATCTCAGTAAAAGTACACGTGTTACTTCAATGATCTAAAGTAAAAGTACTTCCCAACACAGAGTAACCCATTATTGTATTTAGTTTTAAACTGAAACAATTAGTCGTTTAGTCAATCAACAATAAAAGTTGGAAACTATTTTAACAGTGAATAAACTGTTTTTTTAACTTCACTTTTAGCCTCTTAAAACTTGACCGCACTTTGATAATACTTAAATAGGACACTGAATATTTCTGGGTTTTAACTGTTGGCTGACTAAAAGCATTTAAAGACGTCACATCATGTTGGATTTCAGACATTTTATTTTAGACCAAATTATAAAATAAAATTAAGAAAATAATTGGCAGATTAATCAATAATAAAAAGAGATGAAGCTAATTTAACAGCTGCTGAATGTTTTTTTGTTGTTTACATTTTGTTCATCATTTCAAGTGTTCAGTTTGTTCTGAAGGAGGAGACACTGCCATGTTACCTGATATAGATCGATCTACCTACCTACCTACCTACCTACCTATCTATCTATAACCCTAACCCTAACCCTCTGTATCTATATGTACATATACACTCACTACCCACTTTATTAGTTCAACTGCTCTTTAACGCTTACATTAAATCAGCCAATCAGGTGTCAGCAGCTCATTAACATTTAGTCATGTAGACATGGTGAAGACGAGCTGCTGAAGTTCAAACTGAGCATCTGAATGATGAAGAAAGGTGATTTAAGTGACTTTGAACGTGGCATGGTTGTTGGTGCCAGACGGGCTGGTCTGAGTATTTCCTGGGATTTTCAGCACAACCATCTCTAGGGTTTACAGAGGATGGTCCCAAAAAGAGAAAATATCCAGTGAGCCAAAATGCCTTGTTGATGCCAGAGGTCAGAGGAGAATGGCCAGACTGGTTCAAGATGATAGAAAGGCAACAGGAAGTCAAATAAGCACTGGTTCCAACCAAGGTCTGCAGAAGACCATCTCTGAAGCAACAACACCTTGTCCAACCTTGAAGCAGATGGGCTACAGCAGCAGAAGACCACACCAGGTGCCACTCCTGTCAGCTAACAACAGGAAACTGAGGCTACAGTTCACACGGGTTTTCTCACCAAAACTGGACAATAGAAGATTGGAAAAACCACATTCAGATGGAAGCATGGATCCATCCTGCCTTGTATCAACGCTTCAGGCTGCTGCTGGTGGTGTAATGGTGTGGGGGAGATTTTCTTAGTACCAACTGAGCATGGTTTAAACACCACAGCCTACCTGAGTATTGTTGCTGAGCGTGTCCATCCCTTTATGACCACAGTGTACCCATCTTCTGATGGCTACTTCCAGCAGGATAACGCACCATGTCACAAAGCTCACATCATCTCAAACATGAGAATGAGTTCACTGTACTCCAATGGGCTCCACTGTCACCAGATCTCAGTCCAATAGAGCACCTTTGGGATGTGGTGGAACGGGAGATTCTCATCATGGATGTGCAGCCGACAAATCTGCAGCAACTGTGTGATGTCATCATGTCAATATGGACCGAAGTCTCTGAGGAATGTTTCCAGCTCCTTGTTGTGACACCAAGAATTAAAAAGGGGTTCCAACCTGTTACTAGTAAGGTGTACCTAATAAAGTGGCCATGAGTGTCTATCTATATGTACGCATGAATCTATCTGTCTGTCTAATATTATGCAACTAACATTATCAGCTCTACTAAAATATAACTCTGTTGTAAAGGGAGAGTTCACACAAATAGAAATCATCCTTCTGCAAAAACACAACGAACTGACTGACCTGTGTGTGTGTGTGTGTGTGTGTGTGTGTGTGTGTGTGTGTGTGTGTGTGTGTGTTGACTAACCAGCTGTGATACATTAAGTGAAGCTCTGAAGGTTTCAGTGTGAGACTCTGACACCTGAATAAACAACACTTTCTCAGTGAGATGTCACCTCGGGCAGACATTCTGCCGACATGTTCTTATCAGGCTCCCAGGAACGCCGCTCAGCCTTGCTTTCAATGTTTCCCAGTGGCAACTCACGAGACCACCAATATAAAGGAGACGTCTGTAGAACTGTGGACAGGACACAAGCTCAATGATGACTCTATTGTGAATTTTTCATTCATGGAGGATGTTAGAAAAAGATTTCCACACACTGACATCTGTACAGTGCTTAACTTTATTGTTGAGCGTTCAGTCTCTTTGATTTATAAGTGTACGTTTTATTTCTACCTGTTTGGACTTATTGATGTGTCCAGCACCTTGCTAAGACCAAGCCAGGTGGAGCGGTGCTTGCTCTGCAACATCTACATCATTCACGGAGGTTAAAATGTACAAATCCATGACATCATCACAACCCCGAAGCTAAAACTGCACCAGGCGAGCGACATCATTACAGAGTGGACTCCATCTTGGTTCCTGAGTCTAGTTGTTATCACACATCTGTGGTTCCTAAAGAAACAGTGTGTTCAGAAGCTCCTTCTTAAATCAGAAACATGCCGTACAAGTGTCTGCACACCTTTAATCTCATGTCACAGGTGTTTCTTAGGTAAACTCCACACTCACGTGCAGAGACGTCATTTATCACAAGGAAAACAGAAAACATGATGAGACGTTCATGTAGAAATGAAATTAAAGAAGAACCTCCAGTCAGCACATCATACCAGAAACAATGTAAGAATGAGAGTGGAAGTATCTCAACATCTGAACCTTCACAGATTCATATCATTAATACTAACCACAGTTAACTGAATTAAAATGAGCTCCACTTTAATCAGCTAATCCATCAATAATTATAGTTAAATAATATAATGTACATTATTCTGAAGTGGGACGTTCAGCATGATGAGTATTTTTACTGTTGGTACTTTAAATTTATAGGAATTACAAAAAATGTCGGAAGTGCTCGTCCAAACAATTTGTCTTCAGAAGTTATTAATTTAAAAACAGCGCTGTGTTACTTTTGTTCCCTCCCCCCCATGTTTTATGTTCCCTGTGTTTTGTGTTCCGCATCTTTTATGCTCACCATGTTTTATGTCCCCCATGTTTTATGTTCCCTGTGTTTTGTGTTCCACATCTTTTATGTTCTGCATGTTTTATGTTCCACATCTTTTATGTTCTCCATGTTTTATGTTCCCCATATTTTATGTTCTGCATGTTTTATGTTCCCTGTGTTTTGTGCTCCACATCTTGTATGTTCTGCATGTTTTATGTTCCCCATATTTTATGTTCTCCGTGTTTTATATTACCCATGTTTTATATTCCCTGTGTTTTGTGTTCCACATCTTGTATGTTCTGCATGTTTTATGTTCTCCATGTTTTATGTTCCCTGTGTTTTATGTTCCGCATGTTTTATGTTCTGCATGTTTTATGTTCCGCGTGTTTTATGTTCTGCATGTTTTATGTTCCGCATGTTTTATGTTCCCTGTGTTTTATGTTCCCCGTGTTTTATGTTCTGCATGTTTTATATTCCCTGTGTTTTGTGTTCCGCATCTTTTATGTTCTCCATGTTTTATGTTCCCCATATTTTATGTTCTGCATGTTTTATGTTCCCTGTGTTTTGTGTTTGACATCTTTTATGCTCCCCATTATGTCCCCCATGTTTTATGTTCCCCATGTTTTATGTTCCCTGTGTTTTGTGTTCCGCATCTTTTATATTCTCTATGATTTATGTTCCTATGTTTTATGTTCCCCATATTCTATGTTCTGCCTGTTTTATGTTCCCCATATTTTATGTTCTCCGTGTCTTATGTTCCCCCAGTGTTTTATATTACCCATGTTTTATGTTCCCTGTGTTTTGTGTTCCACATCTTGTATGTTCTGCATGTTTTATGTTCCCCATGTTTTATGTTCCCTGTGTTTTATGTTCCGCATGTTTTATGTTCCCCATGTTTTATATTCCGCATGTTTTATGTTCCCCGTGTTTTATGTTCCCTGTGTTTTATGTTCCGCATGTTTTATGTTCCCCGTGTTTTATGTTCCCTGTGTTTTATGTTCCCTGTGTTTTATGTTTCCCGTGTTTTATGTTCCCTGTGTTTTATGTTCCCCATGTTTTATGTTCTGCATGTTTTATGTTTCCCGTGTTTTATGTTCCCCGTGTTTTATGTTCCCCATCTTTTATGTTCCCTGTGTTTTATGTTCCCCATCTTTTATGTTCCGCATGTTTTATGTTTCCCGTGTTTTATGTTCCCTGTGTTTTATGTTCCCCATGTTTTATGTTCCCTGTGTTTTGTGTTCCACATCGTTTATGTTCCGCATGTTTTACGTACCCATTTCTTATGTTCCACATCTTTTATGTTGTCCATGTTTTTGTTGGTTTTTTTTTTTGTTCCCTGTGTTGTTGTTTTTTGTCACCCATATTTTTTTGTTACAGTTTGTTTGTTGTCTTTTTATAAATGTTTCCTTGGGGGAAACAATACAGGTTCATTAAGTTGAACTGAATGTCAGAAGTGTGGCTGAAGCTCCGCCTCAGTCACCATCAACACAACGAGTCTTTAAGACCTTTAAGACGACTGTCAATGTTTCTCCACACGTTCCCAGTTTATTCCCAGTCTAACCAGTGTGGACTGTGCCCAGAGTTTCCCCCTCAAACCAGTTACACAACACAGATAACATGTCACTGTCAGACTTTACATAACACACACCTGACACCTGGAACCTGCTGACTCAGTGCTGACAAGAGATTATTCTGTTTACATTCATAATCAATCACTGAGTGATCTGTGATGTCACTTCCTGTCTGCAGGTGTATCTCCGTCTTCTTTGTGGAGTTTCAGTCTCATTTTGAAGCCGACTATGCAGCGACAGCATGGATCCACAGCCTGGTGGACTGCACCACCATGCTCTGTGGTCAGTATTGCAGACCCACTGGTCAGGGTCGGGGTCAGGTTAGGGTCAGGGCGAGGCAGGTGGCAGTTATGGTTATGGTTATGGTTATGGTAAGTCTCCAGGACATTAATATACATCCATTTAGTGTCCCAAAACATAAGTAAACATGTTTGTGTGTGTGTGTGTGTGTGTGTGTAGCTCCTGTGGGAAGCCTGGTTGGTAACCGTTGGTCCTGCCGGGTGGCTGTGATGCTCGGCGGGCTCCTCTCCTCCTGTGGGCTCCTCCTCAGCTCCTTCACCACAAGCCTGGAGCTCCTTTACTTCACCATGGGAATCCTGACAGGTCGTGACACGCAAACAATTTCCACGCTCTGCAAAAAAATGCCCGCACTTATCAGAGTGTTCTCAGTTTCCTAAAAATGTCCTTACTTTGTCAAAAATGTCCTCCACCTTTTCCACATGTCCGCCCTGAACATTTGTCAGCCCTTTCTTTAAATGTCCTCACTTTCAAAAAAAAAATCCCTTACTTAATATAGTAAATAGAGTATGTCCTCAGTTTAAATTGTTTTCCTTTAAAAATGTCCTGACTTTCTAAAATACAAACTCACTTTTTAAGTGTCTTTACTCTTTTGTTTTCATTAAAATGTCTCAGAAATGTCCTCGCTTTTGAACATTTGTCTGACCTTTCTGCAAGCATTCTCACTTTCTTACTTTCTAAAATATGTCCCCACTTTTGAAAGTGTCTTCACTATTGTTTTCATTGAAATGTCCTTACTTTGCCAAAAATGTCCTTAATTACCAGAATGTCCTCATTTTACAAAAAAAATCCTTACTGTCTAAAAATGTCTTCTGTTTGTAAAACATGTCCCAACTATATAAAAAACCATCCACACTTTTTAAGTGTCCTCACTTTTCTAATTGTTTTCATTTAAATGTCCTAACTTTGCCAAAAATGTCATAACTTATCAAAGTGTCCTCATTTGAAAAAAAATGTCCTCGCTTTTGAAAAATGTTTTACTTTCCAAGTATGTCCCCAACCTCCTCCAAATGTCCAACCTTCTCAGCAATGTCTTCACTTTTGAAAATCTGTCCTTCCTTTCTACAAATATCCTTATTTGTAAAAATGTCCTCTCTTAAAAAAAAAATAAAATAAAAAATAAATCACTTTTTAATTGGTTAAACTTTAACTTCTTCAAAAAATATGCCCTTTCCCAAAAACAGCATCATTTTGAGAAATAAAAAATGTCCTTACTAAAAAAACATTTTCACCTGGCCTTGGCGCTGGGCATCGTCTACTTCCTCCATGCCATCCCCCACCTCCTCCAAATGTCCACACCTCTAAGAAATGTCCTTACTTTGGAAAATTGTCCTCCCTTTCTACAATTATAACTTTTTTTAAAAAAAAAATCTTTACTTTGTAATACATGTCTAATTCTTCACTAATTCTTCTAATTGTTTACTTTGAAAGATGTCCATACTTTGCCAAAAATGTCCTCACTAATGAAAATGTCCTCACTTTCTACTTGTTTTTATTTTTTAAAAAAAGTCCTTACTTAACATCAAAATGTTTTAACTTTGCAAAAAATATCCTTACTTTATAGAAATGTTGTTAATTTCCAACATTAGTCTCCACTTTGTACAAATGTCCTCACAATTCAAAGTGTCCTTATACTGTCCAGAAATGTCCTGCCTTCCTACAAAAGTCCATTCTCATAAAACATTTCTAGAAATGTTCTTACTTTCAAAAATTGTCTTCATGTTTGTAAAACGTCCTCACTTATCAAAATGTCCTCACTCACCAGGTCTGGGCTTCGCTCTCTGTTACACTCCCGCCATCTACATGGTGGGCTGTTATTTCCACCAACGGAAGGCACTGGCGTACGGCATTGCAATGTCGGGCAGTGGGATTGGTACCTTCGTTCTGGCGCCAGCGGTGCAGCTGCTCATCGAGCTGTACTCATGGAGGGGGGCGCTGCTCGTCCTCAGCGCCTTCGTAGCCAATCTCTGTGTCTGTGGGGCGCTGCTCCGACCAATCACATTGCAGGAGGGCGGGGAGGAGGTGGATGGAGAGGAGGGGGAGTCAGTGGGGGAGGAGAAACCTGGTGAGGAGCAGTGCTGTACCTGCGTCTCTGGCACACAAACATCTCACAGATTTTACAGGATATTTTATTTTTACTTGCAAACCTCTGTTGTCTGCAGGTAACATCTTGTCGCAGGACGCCGAGCTCGCTGTAAAACTTAAAGAATCAGACGACAGCCTCAAGTCATCGTCGCCTTCATCTCTGCCCGTGCCCCTGCTGTCGGGAAACCCCGCCCCTAAGCTGCAGAGGAGGTGGTGCTTTAGCTTCTGCTTCTTGTCCAGTCAGGAGTACCGCTTTCTGCTGCTGCCGGACTTCCTGGGCCTGGCTGTGTCGTTCCTGTTCCTGGCCAGCGGCTGCAGCCTCCCCTTTGTCTACCTGGTGCCGTGCGCTCTGAACAGTGGCGTCAGCCACCATCAGGCCGCCTTCCTCATGTCCATCCTGGGAGTGATCGACATCATGGGGAACATAACCTTCGGCTGGTTGACGGACAGGAGGTATGAACGAGTCTGAGGGTCTGAGCTGAAACTTAAAGGGAGAGTTGTTGGAGGTTTTTATCCATAAACAGAATATTACACACAGTACATGTCAGATGGTGTGCCCCCAGTTTGGAGAAGCAGGCAGGAGTCTGACATGGAAGCTACTGCTGTGGAGGGGTCAGCATCAAAACGACATATTTTAGCCACCTAAAAAAATCAGTATCAGTTTAAGTGTATGCTGTATTTAGAATATTTTCACTGCTTTACCCTAATGTCAGACTGTGATTTCTAGCAGGTAAATGAAGCCGTTATCTTGCTCTCTTCAGAGCCAGACTCCATTAAGAAAAACAGTGATTTAACGTCGCTGAACACAGGAGCTGCCGGTCTACCACTACCCCGAATGGTTAGTTTGTTTATGTTATTGTGTGACTTTGTGTGACACAATAACATAAACAAACTATCTGAGCAGAGACGATGAACCGAAACCTGTTGATCTGACGTTGCTGAGCCCTCCACAGCTGTACATAGTGCAGCTTCCATGTTGGACTCCAGCCTGCTTCTCCAAACCAGGGCCGTGCCAACTGATCCGAACTATCCCTTTAAATGTACCATAACGTCACAATATTACTGGAGATCTCACAATGTCCTTACAATTTTTAGTGTCCTCACTTTCTCCTGTTTTCCAAAATAGTCTTCATGTTGGTAAAATGACCTCACTTTTGAAAATTTTCCTTCACATTGTACAAACACCTTCGCTTTCCAGATATGTCCTCATAATTCAAAGTGTCCTCACTCTCCTGGTCAGGGCTCACTTTCTAAACTGTTTTCATCTGTGATACATTTCTCACTTTCCGAGTCATCCACCTCCTCCAAATGTCGGAGTGAGAGTTTAAACATTCACACACATTCTGCAAACTTATCACAGAGCTGAACTCTGTGCTGGAATGTGACAGAACAAGATAAAAACCTGTCAGCCATCAGGTTTAAAGATAAAGCCTGCAGCAGACAGACAGAAAAACCTGAGACTAAGACAAACAGGAAAACTCAGTCATCAGAAATAAATGAATCAATTAAACCAACATCAGAAGACGCCCACATCATGATAATCTTTGTTCAGATAGGATCCAAACAGTCTGCCTGATACAGAGCTGCAAGAAGTACTAAGACATTTTACTTATGTAAAAGTATCAATACCACAGCGTAGAAAGGATTAATTTAAAAGGACCGACACAGGAAGTGTCCACGCTCAGCAGTCAGACAGGAGTCAGGTTAATTTCCAGGGCTGGTACCTGCGGTTATTCCACAGGCTAGTTAATAACATGTCGGGCAGGAAATCCAAAGTGTGGGATCATTTTGAGAAGGTGAAGGACGAACCCAAGGTGATATGTAAACTCATCTTCATTGGTCGACTACAAACATGACGTATCATCTGAAACATGGAAGTAGCTACATGCCCATTAGCCCACAGCGTCATTAACAGGCGGCTCGCTCAGTGTGTGACGTGCACTTGTAGATAAAATATAGGCCTATATTAATGAAGGTTCATTAGTACTGTTTTGTATTTCTCTGTAATGTAGCACAGTGTTAACAATGTTACTGATACTATTCTTTCTCACACCTTCAACTCAAACCACCAGAATATATCATTTAATTCATATTGTAAACATGCAGACAAATAGTCGACTAATGGCCCTAAATGATGACTGTTGGTCCACCAGGAGAATTCTTAGTCGGGGGCAGCCCTAATTAGTTGATTATATTTTGTATCAATAATCTGAATCTGTAAAGTATCTAAAGCTGTCAGACAAATGTAGTACAGGAACAATATATCCTTCAGAGATGTGGTGGAGTAGAAGTAGAAAGTAGCAGAAGATGGAAATACTCAAGTAAAGTACAAGTACCTTTGATTTCTTACTAATATTTCCACAACACACTTTTTCTTTTGACCATTTTCTGAAAGTTCAGTTTAAATTTGTGCTAAATGTAGATGGGAAGAATTCAGATTGTCATTTTCAAAGTGTTTTACAGTCTGAAGAAACAACAAAAGTTGGCGTCAGCACAAAGTATAAGTACTTCTGTGTCCATCTCTCAGGTGTTTGAAGCCGCACCGTCTGGCGTGTTACATCTTTGCGGTGGGGATGGAGGGTCTCTGCTGCCTCTTCATGCCGTTGCTCCGGTCCTTCCCGCTCCTTGTGCCCTTTGCCGTCCTCTACGGTTACTTTGATGGCGCCTACGTGGCACTGATCCCTGTGGTGACATCGGACGTGGTGGGATCTCAGTACCTGTCCTCAGCACTGGGCGTCGTCTACTTCCTCCATGCTATCCCCTACCTCATCAGCCCGCCAGTTGGAGGTGAGGAGCCAGAACACCCCTAATTTACACATGACTGATCATTCACAATCTGCTGCTGCCAGGTTTTGTCCAGAAAGTAACTTTAAGAGTCACACATGAGCGAATGCAGCTAAGTGACCATTGCCTGCGGAGGCAATATTTGTGCTCAATGTGGGCAGTTCCGGATGTGACACACTCGTAAAACTAGCTCGCCAATACATAAAGAAAAGTCCCACTCTGGAAACCCAGCACAGGGTTAGAGTACTTTAAGCCCTGTTCATGTGCTGGCAGTCAATGAGAAGAGCTGGAGCACCCTCTGCTGGACAAACTACATGATGACACCATTTCTAAATCACCCCAAGCATGGTTTTCAGCATTATAGCCCAGTATCCACCAAAACCTTTTGGTATAGTACCTTTAGAACCAAAAGTAACCCTTACGGATATGTACCTAGACCCTGGACCCCTTTAACATTTCCACCAAGATCTGGTACTAAAAGGTGGAGCTGTGAACCCTGCAGTCTGATTGGTCAGTAGAGGACGGTCACTCTGGTTTTATGTAACCTCTGTTCATACATCAGTAAACTACAGCTATAAAATGAAAGAGAAAAAATAACTTCATTCACTGGGCCGACTGCCGGCAACTTTTAAGGTGGAAGAACAGCTGCATGGTACAGACATCTGAGATAAATATGATCACTAATAAATAATATCACTTACTTTTTGTTGAATCTTCTTCTCGTCCTGCAGGTTGGCTGGTTGACATAACAGGAAGTTACACTGCCACCTTCTTCCTCAGCGGCACCGCCCTGCTGGCCAGCGCGATCGTTCTTTTCACAGTTGCTGGAATCCGCCGCTGCCACTCCACTGCTGCTGTAGTCATCACCAAGGACATGAAGCATGAGCCCCTCCCTCTCCCCGACCCATCAGACTGCTTCGTCGCCTTTGACAAGGAAGCGGTCAATCAGGCTGTCATCTCATAACCTCAGAGGAAACAACCAATCTGATTCATCGACACCACAGATTGTGGTCTGGCCGAGGCAGGCTTCAATCAAATGCTTTACAGAAAGTGGATTTATTTAGAGTCTGCTGAAGGACAGATTTCAAGTCAAGAATCAACACTGACAAATTTTATAGGTGCTTCTTAAAGTCAAGGAACAATCCTTACATTTTATGGATGCCGCCGAAGGACTTTTCCGATGTCTAAGATCCTTTGAATTCTACCGAATCGAGTCCTTCTTTCAGACATTTCTCAGGGATGCCTGTATCTATCCTCAGGCTCTTAAAGTACCCACAATCCTCTGTGCACAATGAGTCAGTCCTATCGTCCGAATTGAAAACAAGGAAAACATGCTATAAACTTTCAGTTAAATCTGCTTAGCAGTCCCACAGAATCTGTCTCTGAACAAATCAGAGGCGAGTAATCTTCGTTCATTAGATCTAGAAGGCCAGGTTCAAAACTTTGTTCTGACTTTCGTACAACGAAGAATGAGAGCAAAGTGTTGGTGCTGCTGACAGTTCTGTATGCAGTTATTAGTACCTTCGGTAAGGATGGGCATTTTAAGTAACTTCCATACTAGAGTACCTGCATTACATTATGATAGAGTACTTGATTACTTGCAAAGATAAAAAAAAATCTAACGCAAGAAATATGAATGTTAATTGACCAACAACGTAGTGCAATCTGAAATTCATTTATCGAGTGACCAGGCGCTAATTTGCCTGTTAAGCCATAAATTAAAGTAAAAAAAAAAATCAATCAGAGTCCAGAGCTGCTCTCTTCCTGGCGACTTAAACAGCTGTCCGGTTAGCACAAGCTAACATCCGACATCGAGCTGTTTAATGTCACTAATCTCGAAACATTACTTAATGTTACGGCCCAGACACGCCAAACCCACTTGAGAGAATCAACATGGACAAAGGCCCCCTGCTGTGTCGCCTGACATTGCTGCGTCTTGGACAAACAAGTTGTGCTTGAACACAATACAAGGACACAGCTGACGGCCAACCTGCATGCACGTTCGGCGCCTGCATGAGAGGAAATAACTCTCCACAGCAGCAGACAGTGGTCGTCTGTATTCATCATTCAAAAAGGGAAACAGGACGACTGTCTTGATGCTAGTTAGCCAGTTAGCACGTGTGCCAGTGAACAATAACACAAACTGCAAGGAAAGGTTTCTGCTTAAGAGAAAAATAATCTGACCTCATGGAACAAGTTGGTTTTGGTCTCACTCCCTCTGGACTTTAGCTCCTCCTTTACTCACTTCCTGTCTGTTCTCCTGTGCTGCGCTGAACTGCCAGTCAGAGTTGTTTCACTCACAGATGGGCTCCACCGACACTGATTCTTTAACCCCTGAGCCAGCAAGGGCCGATGAGGGCCAACGGTGTTAAACACACCACACTCATGTTAAACAAAGAGAGAGCGCCAGCGGGGCAAAAAGGTGCCGCAGCTCTACAGTGAAATAAGATCTTACCTTTTAAATATTAAAAAAAAAAAAGTCATGTTCACACGTGGGAGGTTGGGCAAGGATTACGTTGAATGATGTCCAAATTAAGTACTCATGCCCATCCCTAATTTTCAGCGTCCTAAATTTGTCACCTTAAATGCGTCCAAAACAAAACATGTTAACGCCATCATAAATTGCTATTAATTAGCGAGACAACGTAGGCTAACTGAAGCTCTCATTGTATAAACCAAATTTGTTAGTTAAAATACTGTCACCATCTTCAGACTATTCAACAAAACAGTTCAAGGGCAGAATTAGCAATATGGCGTCTAGTTCTTCTGCTGATTCTGAAATGAAAGCACAGGACTTTTTTGGTGATGCTCACCTGCACACTCAGTAAACTGTTCTCTGAATATTAGGAGAGAGGACCTGATATCGAAAGACGTCCTACCAAAGAAGCCTCCTTGACTTTGAGAAGCACCTTTTGTTTTTAAAGAGAAACCCAAAACTCCAACTTCCTGTCTGGAAGAAGTGCCTTCCATTGTTTATTTTTGTTTATTTTTATGCCTCGTCCTCAGAAAGAAGGTTTAACAGACTGAGTTTAACCCTGAACTCTGATACGACGAATCCTGGGATGATGTATTCTGATCTGAGGGCGACTTGATGCTGCTTTTTAATGTGAGGGCGAAAAAATGCTATTCACAGAAATGACTGATGCACAAACTTTAGATAATTCTGAGCAGTACCTTGATTCTGACACACAACAAACCTCTACTAATTAATGGGACGCAAACATTAGCCGGCGAGGGAACAGGCAACTCAAAGCGAGAGGACTCGGTTTGCGCACAGATATGAAGTTAAATATGTTTGAGCCTGAGAGCTGAAACCCTTTAAAGAAACATCTTTGTTTTCGAGTCGCTCACTGGTTGAATGATTGAGCAGAAGCTCCACCAAACTCCAAAGATAAAAAATGGATTTAGCGTTAAGTTATTGTTTCAAGCAGCTTTATTCAGGGAAAACAAAACACAGCAATAACAGATGTTTGTGTTTGATGGCTGACTGAAATGTGTTCACATCAATAAATATCAAAGACTGTCACGTAATATTACAGAGCTGAAACCATTAGCCGATTAATCAGCTGACAGTCACCATCTACTGTCATATTTTTGATTAATCGTTTTTCATTGTTTGCATGTTAACACTGTGAGGTCATCGACAAAACAGAAGTTTGAATCTTTTCATTCTTCTTTTGGGGCCAAAACTGTTTCAGATGTAAATATTACATTTGATGTCTGAATTATTCTGTTTTTACCTCTGTATAAATGGTCAGTATTGAAGGAAACATCACAAACATTTTAACAGTATATTAATTTTTTTGTAATTAATTTCTGTTTTTTTGAACTGTAGCTGGACTTTTGGAAATACGCCATGTTTCAGATGTGCTATTTAGCTTAGATATTCCTACACTGCCCTCTGTGTTGACTCAGGTTTGTTGGACTATTTTCAGGTTTTTTTGTTTAGTTTGAAAATGACGCTTTAACATATCACATGTTCTGGACTCAGGGCTGAAGAAGTGTCGTGTGGTCTGGTTTAGGTTTGTCTCATGGAGTCACACTAATGTAATGATTAAGAAATCACTAGTAATGCTGTGGAGTATTTCTCATGTGCCTCTGAAAATGGCTGCATGCCAACGCCATCACCATCCATCCATCCATCCATCCATCCATCCATCCATCCATCCGCTTATCCGAAGCCGGGTCTCGGGGGCAGCAGGCTGAGCAAAGTACTCCAGACGTCCATCTCCCCAGCAACGCTTCCCAACTCCTCCAGGAGGACCCCGAGGCGTTCCCAAACCAGATGAGATATATAATCCCTCTAGTGTGTTCTAGGTCTGCCCCGGGGCCTCCGACCAGCTGGACCAGGAGGATCCTGATCAGATGTTGAACCACCTCAACACGAAGGGGCAGCGGCTCTACTCTGAGCTCCCTCCAGATGTCTGACTCCGCCCCCTATCTCTAAGGCTGAGCCCAGACACCCTACAGAGGAAACTCATTTCAGACGCTTGTATCTGTGATCTCATTCTTTCAGTCACTACCCAGAGCTCATGACCATAGGTGAGAGTTGGGACGGAGAATGACCAGTATATCAGCTCCCTCTGAACCACGACGGTCCCCGATCCATCTCACACTCCATTCTACCCTCACTCATGAACAAGACCCAGAGGTACATGAACTCCTCCCCTTGGAGCAGTACCTCACTCCCAACCCGGGTGTTTGAAATGTTTCCGCCCCTTGACATACAGAAACTACAGAGACTAAAAGACCAGGTCCATGCAGGGATGGGATGGGACTAGTCGGTCGGCATAAGACAAAAACCTGATGCAGCGGAATAATCATCAAATATACAAGAAATAAAACGATGTCTCCACGTGTCAGACGTCAACGCGAGTCTCAACAGTTCCAGACTTGTTTCCATGAGTTTGTTATGACAGCACCTAACCTGGTTTATCCTCTCAGCGCACAAAAGCCACAGAGCAGCGACAGAAGCTGCTGCTCTTCAGTAGGATAATAACATTTTACCTTAAAGTTCTTACAAACATAATTTCATTAAAAAAATGAAGACTTTTGTTTTCATCTTTGTTGTTAATGTTGATGGATTAAAGGGATGTTCAGTCAAACCACGTTTGTTCCCTGATGTTTTTATTATGTCTACTTGATGTATAAACCTGAGAGCTGTATCCCAGCTGCTGCAGACTGTGGAGCCAGGATGTAAATCACTGGTGTATATTTTGGGAGTGTCCTGTAATAAGACAGTTCAGGCTCTAGGCACAGTGAACCATCAGCACATCAGTGATGCCGACAAAGAGTCGGGACACTTCGGTCAGATTCCCCTCCCGTGTCTGTATCCCAAGACTAGGCCAGTCGTCCCTTTAAATGACCTTGTCAAGCTGTAAAGGTGCAGACACACCAAACTGACATCAAAGAACTAGCGGCAACAAAAGCCAACTTTTGCGTCGTCTACGTCTCCTCACGTCGCCCTGTTTCACTACAGGCAGATTCACTCACTACAGGGGCGAGGAAATAAAACCTGAACAGCCAATCAGAGTGATCTCTCTCACCGACAAGCTCCACCGCCGATTCAACATGCTCAATTGACCGAAAAGCCGCCAATGACGAAGTGCCAATGGTGCGGGACACACCACAAAAACTAGGGCGACAGACGCTCACCGACGGCCCGACTTTGGTCGACGGCTGACTGTCGGCTTGGTGTGTCAGGGCCTTAGGCGTCGCACTGGGCCTGGAAACATATTGACAAGACTATTCAAGAGAAGGCTGGGACACGGGGTCAAACATGGGGGGATTGCACATGTGCAGTGTAACTTGAAATGCGATGCTGGAGGGTGACAGCAGGGGCTCTAGATAAAAAGCGCAGGATCCGTTCAGGCGATCAAGGAGTGCGCTTGGTGCGGTCTGCTTGGACTTTTGAACGGCGGCTGCCTGAAGTTGTCGGAATTGCATCTCTGTCATTCTCACCCACAACGCAGGCCACCAGTGACAGTCCAGTAATAAGCTGTGAAAATGACATACATGCACATATCCCAGAACCAACAAAATGGAGCCAGCACCTCAGTGACATGAAACAAGCACCCCCCTTATTCCGCGGTCTCACTCCATCTACTGAGCCTTTGAGGAAGTGCAGACCAGATTTTACTGCGCATGTGCAATCCCCCCATGTTTGACCCCGTGTCTCAGCCTTCTCTTGAATAGCCTTGCATATTGAGTGTTTGTTTAGAGCCTGAAGAAGAGGGGCGGGGCTTAGACAGGAAGTTGATGACCACCTTAGTGGCGCATCCCTCTGATGTTACTCTACGTTTCTGATAGTGGACACATGCAGAGGAAAATAACGCCACACTGTGACATTATCACTGTCTGATATTCACACTTCATAAAAAATTCTAACATAGGATTATATTTTATTCTTTTATTTTGAAGACCCAGACACAAGTTGTATCTGGTGTTTCCTGTTTGCTGTACCTGCAGGCTGTGTTTGGACCTTCTCAGCCACCGTAGATACTGAAGCAGACAGACGAGCGTTTGATCAGACGAAGAAGGTGGCGAATGATTTGCATTTTCCATGAAGTGAGAATGTTGTTCTGTTTATCATTCACCCCCAGAAACAAACGAAAAATAAAACTAAAATAAAAAACTGTACAGGTATTTAAAATCAAACTCCTCAGAGTCCCCACAGGTTTAAATACCACCTGTGTAGTGTTGTCACATGGTTATGATGTCACTTCCTGCAGGTCTTAGATCACAGCTTCTCCTTCACTCCTCCTGACACCTGAAACACAGAGCAACAACACTGGACGTTAAAAACACACCTGTGTATTCTACTTTACAATAATGTCCTCATAACGTAAAACGTCCTCACTTCTTTAAAAATGTCCTCATAGCGTAAAACGTCCTCACTTCTTTAAAAATGTCCTCATAACGTAAAACGTCCTCACTTCTTTAAAAATGTCCTCATAGTGTAAAACATCCTCACTTCTTTAAAAATGTCCTCATAACGTAAAACGTCCTCACTTCACACTTGAGGTCTGAAACTATACTTGGTCCTCACAAAGACAAGTCTACAAACAAACACACACTCTTCCTCACCATGTCTTAAAAAGCTTCTTCGTCCTCGTTTCGTATTGGTAGCTGTGTTAACCGACTCCTTCTCCACTGAATGTCCACTGACCAGACGATGATGGTTTTAGCTGCAGAGACACAGAGAGGATAAAAAAAGATGAAGACAGATATTAAAAACAGTTTGATGGAGAAATAAATATTAAATAAAGCTCACAGATCAAACATGGATTCACACAGAGCTTCTGCTGTCATGGAGCAACAGTCCACACTGACTGACAGAGGAGCAGCGCCCCCTGCTGTCTGATGTTGTTAATGCAACAAAAACCAACCACAGCACTGTACACAGTATAATGCATTCACCCCACTATAAAAAACAGACCAGTACAGACCAGTTTGATATGAGTTAAAAGTCACACTGACCTTTGCTGCCCAGGATGGAGGGAGAGTTTTCTGAAGAGCCCCGTCTCTCTTCTCCTTCACCACACAGAGACAGGATGAGAGACAGGTAGACAGAAAGGATGAGAGACAGGGTGAGAGACGGGCAGACAGAAAGGATGAGAGACAGGTAGACAGAAAGGATGAGAGACAGGGTGAGAGACGGGCAGACAGAAAGGATGAGAGACGGGCAGACAAAAAGGGTGAGAGACAGGTAGACAGAAAGGATGAGAGACAGGTCGACAGAAAGGATGAGAGACAGGTAGACAGAAAGGATGACAGACAGGGTGAGAGACAGGTCGACAGACAGGGTGAGAGACAGGTAGACAGAAAGGATGAGAGACAGGGTGAGAGACAGGTAGACATAAAGGATGAGAGACAGGTCGACAGAAAGGATGACAGACAGGGTGAGAGACAGGTCGACAGACAGGTCGACAGACAGGTCGACAGACAGGGTGTGTGATGAGACTGATACAAGACGTTTGCTGATTTCAAACTAATGAAATGTCACTTTGATAACTTACGGCGTTGATTCGACGCAGACGTATAAATCCCACTTAAACTGGCGAATCAGCGTAACATTAGCTAACGCTGGCTGCAGCTGTTTCATTAGAATGAAATGACAACATGAATACATGTGAATAAACATAATGTGAATAAACATAATTAAACATTTCTTCATCCATGAACATGATTTCACTTTAAAACATGAATTTCACCAGCAACGATATTTGTTTAACAATAACCCGGAGCTGAGTTAGCATTTTAGCGCTCCCAGTTCCCTCGTCTGAAGCTCAGTGGGTTTTTGGTTAGATGTCTGAAATATGGTCTGTGGTTCACACACACTGAATAGACTTTCATGTTTTGTTCCACAACATAAAATACGTCAGTAAAAAAAATTAAAGCTTTTTCATGTCCTGAAAAATACGGCTGCTGACAAGAGGCTGAATGAGACTACAGAGCGTCATTACGACCGACGTTAAATTCATGCGACTGTGCTGCAGTTGACGCCCTTGTTGGCCTACAAATACATGTCACTCTATGAGGACAACAACTCCCATGATCCCATGCTACTTCATGTCTTAATAAAAAGGACCTTCTTGCATATTTTTTTCTTAATTTCCTATTTTAGACAAATAGGGGAAAAGGAAAATATATCAGTATTTTAAAACACCTCATAACTAACATCACATAACAAGATGACACAATGGGGCCATTCCAGGTCAACAGGATTCCTCTGTTTGGAAAATCAACTAAAGGTAAGGACAGGTAAACAGTTTGTATTTGTTGTTGGTCAGTGCTGACAGTGGGTCTCTTACTGCAGGTCATTAAACATCAAAACATGTACCTGATAGTTTGAGTCAACACAGACAATGTTTGTTTCTGCTCGTCTCTGCAGCATGACGTCCTTGTCATTGTGAAATAATCAAACTTCCTGAGACAAACAGTTGGCAGTGTGCTGCAGTGCGTCCCCACAGTTGAACTGTGTAAACTGTGGACTTTCCGGTCTGCTGAAAGAGGAACATCAGCCACTGTATAAAACTCGTGTGAAGCCTGACTGAAGCCACAGAAGAAACTTTTCATCTGGAACAAGAGCTGAGATTTGAAGATGAGACCTGTCACCGTTTTGCTGGGTAAGATGATGAATCAGCTGCTGCTGATAATCCTGATTATAACTGACAAATCAGAAGATTAAAACTCAGACTTGTGAACTGTAGAGCACTGACAAAGGTGACAAGGTACGAAATCTAAAATCAGATATGGGGGTCCAGGGGTACAAGCCTATGACATTTTACACTGTTTTAATAGGGCAACACACGGTCAATCATTGTGTATCACTGAAGAAGGCTTAGGCTGAAACGCGTCTGTCATTTTGTGAGTACTGTTGCCTATTAGTTTCTTTGGAATCCCTCTGCAACTTGCACCCATCACAATTGGAATTGTTGGAGTTGTGCGTCCTCCTTCCTTCAATTTTACGTTGTATAAATTAGCCTAGTGACAAGCGGAGATTTCCTCTGCTCATATTTCAGCCAGGATAAATCACACACAGTGTGTGGAGGCTTTACTGTCTTCACAATTTTTTGTTTCTTATCTGTGAAATTAAAGTAAATAAAAGCTTTGTGTCCACTGAGGGAAATGGTTTCAGCTTACAGAGACAGACAGGAGGTCTGCGTCACTGCGACGTGTAGTTACATTTCTGTGGAGGTGCACGTCAGGCTGCAGTGAAGGCTCTATGTCGACGCAGAGCCTTCACTGCAGCTGCAGCGTTGACTGAACGCAGAAGTATAAATCCCACATTGTGGGGACAAAGACCAACTAAAGATCAGGATTAGTGCTTAATATTTTGTAAAGGTTTCGATAAGTCACCAGGGAATTAATGTAAGTATATTCAATGTTAATCTGTTAATGTTAATGTGTGTGTGTGTGTGTGTGTGTGTGTGTGTGTGTGTGTGTGTCTCCAGCTGTGATGTGTGTGTGTGTGTGTGATGGCGTAAAGTTCGGACAGCTCTGTGAGGGAAACCCCAGCAACACCAGGAGGACGTCTGACACATGGGGACAGGGACACTACGGAGCCAGCCGGTAACCATAACAGCTGCACCATAACACTACACTACTGTTCAGGTGCATTTTGGGACATGTAGGCTCCAATGTTTGTGGCCTAGAAGTCTATCCACCTTATTTTCAAACACAGAAGTAAATAGTGATCAACTTCTGTTTTTTTGCGCGTGACTTCCGGTCAGCCGCTTTCCCTCATGCTTTCCCTTACCGGAGCTAACGGTGCAAGCTCTTTTTTTTTTTTCAATTTTCAGTTGTTTATGTTAGTCAATCAGTTAGTTAGTTAGTCTGTGTATTTTGTATAATGTTAGATAACTGTGCCCACGTTTCCGTTATAACGGAAATTTATTCCCTCTAAATGCGAATAAATCGCACGTCAATCATAAACTATGAACCAAAAAAGCACAATCTATCCCGAGTGAGACAAACTGCTTGATCCCCGTCTCCAGTGCACCAGCAGAGAACCTGCAGAACCGAATCAGTAAAAAAACACCCCGGGCTAAGCCTCTCTACCTGAGCAGCTGAAGCTGCGGCTCGCACCCTCGACACACAGACGGTGCTTCTGCATGCCAGCCACACGTGTGCGCAACTGTGAGAAATAAATATGTGAGGTGTACACTGCTTTTCTATCTTTTTTTCCTTTTCTTTCTCTCTGTCAGCGACATACACTCCTAACACAGGACGGGTTGTTTTAATTGACTGAGTTGATCATTAAGCCATAGTGATGCGCGGATCGGCTCTGATAGCACCTGAATCAGCATGTTCGCAACAACCATCCAGCCATTACAGCATGATTGAGCTAGCAAAGCAGTTTTGTGTTGCTATGTGTGGTATTTATTCAGTTTTGGGAAATCACGATGTCTAGAAAGCATCAGTGGCTGCAGCTGACAGGGACAGCTAACGTTAACACTAGCAGCAAAGCTAACATCAGGATCGTCATCCGTTAAAAGCCTCCCGTTGTCGGATACGACATGAAACTACTCCAGTTAGCTCAATCATGTTGTAACTAAGACATCCGCTGGAGAAAATATTTTTTTCACGGGCCACTTTGTGAGTTTAGTGAGTTATTACAGACACGGCTAACGGCTAACAGCTAACGGTTAGCCCAGCTAATCTACGATAACCATGTTATTAATTACACACAGAGAAAATACTAATGTTTGTTCAGTCATTGTGTTTATAGACTTTACAAACATCAGATTAGTCTAAACGGTGATATAGTGACGTGAAAAATGTGATATATACATATATATAGCTAAACTCGATTCCCATTTACACAGTGGTAAGAGTGCTGGACTGGAAGTGTCGCACAAAAAAACGGAAACTGGCTGCGTTCTGATTTGCCTCCATGTTTCCGTGAAAAATAAGGTGGATAAGTCAGGATATCTCAGATTTGATCCGTTCCGTCATTGATCTGCTCCTCAGAACATATAAATCAACCAGTCAACTGAGGCACACAGTGGAGACGATGTTGAGCAACTAATCAGAAAAAGAAATGAGCAGAGGCAACTGTTGTGTGGTTCATCATCTGGATGTCTGCTGTGTTTCAGGGAGACCAGGCAACACAAAGGTCTGGACATTGTGTGCCAGGACGGCTCAGTCGTCTACGCTCCGTTTGACGTGACTCTTCACGGAAAGGTCATTGTCTACAACAACCCCGCGAAGGCGGCCATCGACAGCGGCATCAACCTGAGAGGAGAAAGTCAGTCCATCAAACATTTATTACATTAAAACATGTTGCTCACGTACTGTGGGCTACTGAAAGAGATAGTTTGGAGTTTTGCAAGTGGGGTTGTGTTAAGTATTTATCTATAGTCAGTAAATTATACCTGCAGTAGATGTCAGATGGCACGGAGAAGGAGAAGCAGGCAGGAGTCTGACATAGAAGCTAAGCAATGTACTGCTGTGGAGGGGTCAGCAACAAAATGTATTTTAGCAACAAAAAAAATCAGTGTACGCTTTATTAAGAATTATAAAATTAGCGATTACCAACATGAAAATGAAGCCATTACATCATTCTCGTCAATGCCAGACTCCACTGAAAAAAATGATGATTTAAGCTCACTGAACACAGGAGCTGCTGGTCTACTGCTGCCGGCCTCCATCAGTTAGTGTGTTTGTGTCTTTGTGTGACTTCAACTGAGGCTGTTAATAGCTTCCCTGTCTGACGGAAGGCAAAGCAGTAAAAATACTCTCAGTATAGCATACACTTAAAATGATATTGATGTTTTAAGGTGGGACCGTTTTACAGGTGGCTAAAGTATGTTTTGTTGCTGCCCTCGATTCACACCAACACAAAGTTATCCTTACATACTTTACTAAGGGAAGTTTTTCACTGCAGGACTTTTACTGTAACAGAGTATTTTTACAGTGTGCTATCAGTACTTGTACTTCTGTAAAGTACCCTAAAACCTCATTTAAAAGCCTTGTCCCATTTACTAGCCTGAAGTGGCTTCACGTTTTGACAAATAAAGGTCTGTCTCAATTAGAGGCCTGGTGTGGTTGTCAAGCAGCTCATTTTTATAGAAGTTCTTTGGATGTATAAATCCGGATTGTTGACCACCCACTTGAGCTAACGTTGGTTAGCTGTTTAGATCATGCATACAGATATAAATGTTGTAACATTCGTCAATCTAGAGATGCTACACATCGTTAGCTCGGTTGATTTCATTCTACTGAAACTATGAGCACCAGAGAAGACTGTATTTCATTCGGATTCACCGATATGACAAAAAAACAAGTGGTGACTAGTGGTAGGTGGACCCACTTGACGCTGACGCTGCGATCACCAGCTAATTGGATCGGCTTAATGAGACAACTATGCAGGGAGGCGTATCCCATAGTGAGACATTTCACTCATGCTAATCTGAGAACTGGAGTTACACAAGTAACCTAAAGTTATGTATATTTCTTTAGTCTGTGAGGGTCCTCAGATCAAATGAATCAAGTGTTTTTATAAAAATCAATCCAAGTTATGAATATTGTTTTAAGTGGTGTTGTCTGTGTTGATTTGATTTGAGGCCTAATTTTATCCAAGTAATGTTAACACTGATTCAAATAAAACATTTAATTGTATCTTCTGATCTTTGCTGAGCAACAGCTTTGTGTAAAAAGAATTAAAGGCCCGTCCCAAATAAAGGCCTGTCCAGTTCAGTGACTTAAGAAAATAATAGCCCGGCCAACTATTTAAGTTTTACGGTATCTTCTCCTGCAGATCTGTGTTTCAAGCTGTTCTACGTTCAGCCGGACCGAACCTCTGGCACAGTGAGGAAGGGGGAGAGACTCGGCGTCATGCTGCCCATGCAGAGTGTTTACCCAGGTATCACCTCACACATCCACGTCCAGATGTGCAACAAGGAGACCAACCCCACGCAGTACTTCGATTAACTCACAGAGGACTTCTGTAAACTTTCTGTGTGTCAATATTAAAACCTTTAAATTCAAACAGCCGGTTTGCTGTGTTTCTTTGATCAGCAGAAACAACACAAACATCACTTTGTGTAATGTTTGAGATCTTAAAAGCTCTAGAAATAACATTGATCACTAAGAACCAATAAATCTCATGTTTTTTCACAGTTTATTTTTTATTGAGGAGAATTTTGTCCCCTCAGTCAGTCTCCTTATTTTAACCCTCTGGACACCAGTTTTGTTTTTGTTATTTTCTCTCTTTGATATGAACTGAGGTGAAACAAGGAAGAACAATAAATACACAGCAATCATAAAAACAACCCATATAAAACTTTCTTCAGTGAAATGAATTCAAACTACAAATACAGAGGTGAAAGAAATACAATATCAAAACAACAATCAGTCTAAAGCTTCAAATTAAAGACAACCTGGATATCAGAATCAGTTTCCTTATTGTTATCACCTAGTGACATCATTCTTTACAGGACGATGACCTGTTCAACATGATCTGAGCACCGTTTGAAGCTGCTGAGAATAAATCTCTGCTGGAGAAATACTTCATTGAAAAAATAAAGTAGAATTAAAATGTCCCATTTAAAGGGCCGGTCTATCTGCGTTCTTTTCCATGTTTTTTATATCTTAGCTGTTAGCAAAATGCAGTGACGTAGGAGGGACTACATGTCTTGTCTGGCCTGGGAACGCCTTGCTGGGGAGAGGGACATCTGGAATACTTTGCTCAGCCTGCCACCCCGCCAATGGATGGATGGATGGATGGATGGAGAGAGGTAGGTTACAGCACTGGTGCCACATCCCCAACCCCTGGACGCTCTTCGCTTACAGTAGCCATTTTTTTGTGTGACGTTTGACAGCATGTTCAGCCACTAGTGTGACATATAACAAACGTGTCTGCAGCTCTTAATAAACAAACAATAACAATCGTTTACCATCACTGTTAAATAGCAGTCGATCTCATCCTCTGCTCGGAGAGTAAGGAACTCCTGGATCTCATCGTCTCCCTGATTTTTGGACATTTTCGGCTGTTTTTCTTCTTCGAGTTAGCTGCTAACTGCTTTATAAATCTCCCAGTGGTGAGTCACACCTGTCCAATCCTGCCGGCTCACACTTTTACAGAGGTGTCAATTTGGCACTGTTAGTACCTCCGCTGCTGGCTGAAAGGCGAGATGACTCTGTCTCTCCATTTCATGATCGTACCATTGACACAGAACAGCGAGGCGAAACAGGGCACTACATTCCCACTTTACAGAGGCAGTGTAAAAAAGGCTACTGACAGTGTAAGCATGGAGAGAGGGGAAAGTTTTGCCCTGGAAGACGTAACTTTTTTATTGTTATTAAACCTTAATCTAACGGTGAAGACACTCAGATTCAATATGATATAATACCACATTTATGCTGTATAAACAGATGCATACATCCAGTCAGTGTATTACCTGCAGTAGATGGCGGTTTAAGTGGCTTGGGAAAATGGCATTTTGACACTAAAGCATACTCATTTAAACCAAAATATCTGGATTTGCACACATAATGAGGACGACTGGGAGGCTACAAAATGATTGAAACACCTAAAAAAACCTTGACCCTGCTGTACCACCAAACAACATAATATTTTTCGCTCTGAGTTTGTCTGATCTCAGTCCTGACTGTTGGTCAGCACCAGAGACTGTACAAAAAATTAAAGGTGTGAAACTTAAAAACTTGAGAACTTAAATCAACAGTTTAAATCATTTTCAGTCACTCTTGTTTCTTCTCATGTGGCACTTTTTTGTGTCCGTGCAATAGAGTTTAATCACGATGACATCATGTTATTACCTGGAGGTGCAGCTGCCTCTCCCCCACAGGGCTGTAGGCTACACAGGAGTGTTAAAATGTGTTTGTCTTGTTGTGTTATTGGAGCCAGAATAGAAGGAGTCATGGCTCAAAACCAGCCACCACTGCCCGTCAACAAAAACAAAGACAAAGATGGTTAAATGTGATAAGACCAAAGGACTGGACGGAGGCCATCATCAAAAATGCTCACATGTGCAGTGCACACTTCATATCAGGTTAGGGAAAAAGTATTTCCTGTTGTAGGGATGAATAATGTTATGTGTATTAAGGGTTATCATGTCCACCTCATCAGAAACTGGGGAGGGATTAAGAGGAATATTGGATTTCTCTGTAACGCTAACTTTTTAGCACATTAGCTAACGTTAGCTTCCATAGCAAAACAAACAAGTGTGGTCCTCCTTTGTAAGATTGGCTTCCTGTGACATCATCCATCCACTGAGTGAGAGCATACGGGTCGGCCAGTCTGGTCCCGTTGGTCAGTGTTTACTTATTCAAGTAACACTGGCGGTCCCGGAGAGTGAGTGACCTGACATGGTGCGTTGGTAAATTCAGTCTGACGCTCTACACTAAAATGAGAGCCCTGTTGGTGGAAGAAACAGAGCGTTATATTTCTACATGAATGAACCAACGGTTAAGTTAATCACACATTCACTCCGCTCGGCGCTCTGCTGCTCCGTCTCCACAGACAGAGTGTCCAGAGTGCGCTCTGCCACTCTGAGAGTGCGCTGCTCTGGATAACCCAACGCTACATTCAGACAGCGCTCCCAATTTGTGAACAGTCCAGTTTGTGTCAGAGTGCACTCCCACACTCAGTTTGTGATATCTGAACCTTATTTGGGAATTTTTATTTATTAAAAACTGCTTTGAAAATGTTTTAAAAAACATTTCAGGTTGTAATAAACAGTAAATATATTTTCAACAAATCTGTCTCAGTGTTTCAGTATCTTCAGTTTCAGCATCAAATAAAAAAAGTTCAGAAAAAAAATCATTTAAAAAATACAGTTTTACTCGTTAGACGCTAACCTTCTCAGACACGTCTTCATACAGATCCAGGATCCGGATTTGCTTGCTGTGTCAGGTGACAGTTGAGGTAGCGTCTGTTGCCATGGTGACCGTGCAGTTGATGAGCTCGGTCTCAGGCGGAGGAAGAGGAGGGGTTTCTTTTTGCGGCAGGATGGCGGTGAGGAAGAGGAGGAGGCTGCCGGCCATCATGCAGCCGCCGCTGAGGTAGAAGGCGAGGTCGTACGACTGACTGAAGTCGTAGAAAGAACCTGAAGAAGACACAAGATCATCTGCTGTAGATAAGAACATAAACACGAGGCTGATGTAAATCCAAATAAATATGTAATACTGCCCCCACATGGAAACAGGAACTCTGTGTTTATGGTGCTCACAGGAAGTGTAATAAAGTTAGAGTAGCAACGTCCCTACAAGTAGAAAAGTTCTTGTTACATGATGAAACATCACCGTAACAAGAAGAGACTTCATTACTACAAGTACAACTGTCACTGCTACACATACAAACATCATCGCTACTAGGAATGAACTAAAACCAACATCTGTCAGTCTGGAGGGAAGGAAACCATTACTGACGCAGAATCTCTTGTAGAGTTTGTAGACCTCTTGTCACGTCTTACCTACGACAGGAGGGCCTAGTGTGATGCCAACACCTCCGAAAAACATCAGGATCCCATGAGCCTCAGGGAGCTTCTCCACGCCTACTACCTTACTGGTGACGTACGGCGTCAGAGTCCAGTTCCCGATCGAAAAGCCCAGGACCGCCATCAGCACCTGCAGCTCCATGTACGAGCTGAAACCAGACAAAAAGATAAAACAAAAACTATGTATGAATTACAGACGCTGAGAATGATGGTGCATCAATAATTCTAATCCAATAATATATTGGTTATTATTCGGCACCGTGAGTGAAAAGCTGATGCTGATGCTTTTGTTCTTTTACTCTTAAATGCAGGACCTGTAGGTGTACTTGTATTTCTACTTTTGCGGCAGTAAAAGATCAGAGTACTTCCTCAAGCTCTGATAACAGCTAACAGACAGTTATATCATCTTCTGTCCCTCCTGTCTGTCCCAGTGTCCTCTGTGGTCTTACCTGGCGAAGGGAATGAGCAGCACCCCCAGCCCGCTCACCGCCACCGTCAGAGCATACAGGAGGACGCTGTTGACACACGACATGTCAGCTATGACACCCAGCCCCAGTTTACCCACACCAGTCGCGATAGAGTTGAGGGACACCAGGGAGATGGAGGTGACGCCCTTCGACAGCCCGGAGCTCCGAGCCAGGTCCTCCATGAACATCTGAGGGGGGAAACTACCTGCAGGAGGATGAGGAGCTTCAGGTGAGGAGGTCAACTCTCCACTGACACGTTTGGTTTTTATGGCCTTTACTTGAGGAGAGAAGTACCAGGACAAAAAAAGGAAATACTCCAAACGTGGTGCAAGTTCAAGAGTACAAAACTACTTTACGAACAACAGAACAGACTGACTGAGGGCTGCGACAAACGGTTAATCTATACATAATTTTCTCCATTAATTATTTGGTCTAATAAAACATTGAGCATCGAGAGAGAGGCCTGTCATAATATCCTAAAGTGACTTCATCAAATTTCTCATATGTCCGACCAACATTTCCAAACCCCAAATATCAAATTTACTATCATGTAAAGCCAAAAGAAAGCAGAACATCCTCACATCTAAGAACCAGGAAATATCTTTAACAATAAATCATAAATTTGAATAATTGATGAATTGACTGATGGTTGAAGATCTAGAAACTGACCGAGGCAGAAGAGGAGGAAAGTGACACAGAACGCCATGAGGACTCTGTCCTGAAGGAGAGACAGCATGGAGGACAAACATCTGAGGAGAGAGAAGATGAATTCTAATGTAAGTCAGAGTAAACGTTTCAACTTAAAATCAGAGACATACAGCGTCCATTTTCTTCTACAAACCGATTATTGTTGGTCATTTCACCATCTGGTATGCTGCTGCCACTGCCAAGGACAAAAGCAGACTGCAGCGTATCATCCGCTCTGCCGAGACGGTGATTGGCTGCAATCAATCTCTGAGGCGTGCAGAAAAGATTATGGCTGATCCCTCCCAACCTGGACACAAACTCTTTGGGACTCTCCCCTCTGGCAGGAGGCTGCGGTCCATCAGGACCAAAACCTCACGCCACAAAAATAATTTCTTTCCATCTGCAGCTGGCCTCATCATCAAGACCAGAGACCCTCACCTACTCTGCCTATTACTATTGTTATTGTTATTTGCATTCAGATTTTAAATTTAATTGTTTATAGTATTTCCTTTTTATACTTATGCTTCTAATTACTTCTAATATTTTTTATATATTTTATATTCTTTGTTATGCACCAATACACCAAGCCAAATTCCTTGTATGTGAAAACCTACTTAATAAAAACCGATTCTAATTCTGATTCTGATTCTTAATTATTTCACCTTACTTTCAGGCAGAAGATCTATACAATCAGCACAATTTCAAGATAAGAGTCACTAATTCAGTATCTGACCAAATGTCTCCCCTTCTATTCCTGAGATATGACGTTAGAACATGGTGATGTCACAGTTAAGCTGACCTTTGACCTTTTGGATATAAAATGTCATCACTTCATTATTTCATCCTGTTGGACATTTTGTTTAACATTTTGTTGTAATTAGCATTATATGTTTTTGGCCAAAATCATATTTTGTGATGACACAGTGACCTTTGACCAACAAATTCTCATCAGTTCATCGTTGGGTCCAAGTGGACGTTTGTGCCAAATTTGAGGAAATTCCCTTAAGGTGATCTTGAGATATCTAGTTCATGAGAATGAGATGAACGCAAGGTCACAGTGACCTTGACCTTTGTGTTACGACCAGCAAAATATGTCAAGTTCATCCCAAGTGGATGTTTGTGCCAAATTCGAAGAAATTCCCTTAAGGTGATCTTGAGATATAGAATAAGATGAACAAGGTTACAATGACCTTTGACTTTTAACCAAATTCAAAATTCATTGTTGAGTCCATATGATGTTTGTGCCATATTTGAGGAAAATTCCTCAAGGCACTCTTGAGATACAATGTTCACAAAAATGGGACGGACAAGGTCACAGTGACCTCGACGTTCCACCACCAAATTCTCATCAGTTCATCGTAGAGTCCAAGGGGACGTTTGTGACAAATTCCAGGAAATTCCCTTAAGTTGATCTTGAGACATCCCGTTCACGAGAATGAGCTGGATGCAAGGTCACAGAGACCTTGACCTTTTGACTTACGACCAGCAAAATATAATCAGTTCATTCCTGAGTCCAAGTGGACGCTTGTGCCATCTGCAGGAGATGAAATCTGGGAGTAAATTTATTACATATTATCACACTCACTGGGAATAATGTTTCATCTTTTTGACGAAGGTCGAGAAGCTGAAAAAGCTCCTCCTCCTCACAAGTGGCTCCTTGGTTTCCATGACAACAACAGGATCTTTGGCTGAAGGCTCCTGATTGGACAACTCCTCTTCTTTCTCTTTCACCTCTTCCTGAAGATGCTGCTCCAGGATGGCGGCGCGCTGTTTGAGGTAGTACCTCGGCGCGGTTAAAGGTCGCATGAGGCCGCCACATGGCACCACATTGAGTGCCAGTGCTCCAATGATGAGGAGGCAGCCCTCCAGACCGAACACCTCAATGAGCTCACTCTGCAGCGTGGCAAACAGGGCACCGCCCACGCCCGTACCTGAGGACAGACAGACAGACAGACAGACAGACGTGTGGTGACCAGTTACTCAGGTAAACATGTGAGGCAGTTTCAATAAAGTGAAACGTAGATGTGCGTAGACAGCGTAGAGTGGCTAACTAACCAGAGGACGGCAGAGGGCGCCACGTTTCTGCTTGTTAATTCAGCTAACTGGCTGTTTGTCAGCAAAGCCAACAGAAATTAGAATAAATGTCAAGACATTTTTACATCACAATATTCCACCACCTCTAAATGGAAAGTGTTTTGAAATGCAGCGCTAAACCTCACTGAGTCAATGGAGGGCCGGACGAAAAGGAAAGGCCTCTTGTATTTTACGTCAGTTTGTGTTTGTTTCTGAAAAATGTATCTGTTAGTCACTGGTTAGTCAGCACTTTGTCCGCACTAACGAAAGCTCTGGAATCACAGATTGTGTTCATGCAATAGGAAAAAAAAATGCTCTGACTTGTTTGTATTTCTTTAAACCAATTACAGTCGTCCTGGGCAGAGCTAAGCCAAGGATGCAGCGACAGTGCTCCGGCAAAGTAGTGTCGGGGGGTCACCAATTAACCTGCATGTCTTTGGGCTGTGGGAGGAAGCTGGAGCACCTGGAGGAAACCCATGCTGACACAGGGAGAACATGCAAACTCCACACAGAAGGACTCCCTCCTGGGATCAACCAGGAACCCACTTGCTGTGAGGCGACAGTGCTAACCACTACACCACCGTGTCACCTAGTCCTCACACACTGCTTCATATTATATTTTAATACTAAACACACATTTAGGAAGTTACCAGTGGATCATCTCTGCAGACTGGTTCTAATAAAGGGATCATTTGACAGACGTACCTGTGCTCACTATTCCCAGCGCCAGGCCTCTCTTCTTGTCAAAGTATAGACAGGTGATGATGACAACGGCAGCATACAAGAGACCTAAACCAACACCTGAGATGAACACAGAGGACATTGTTATAACATCTCATCACTACAACAGACTGGAACAACAACTTTAACTCATTGTTGGTTTGGATCTGAACACCAACAGTAAGAAAAATGAGATTGTTTACAGTATCAGCAGAGGTGGTACCAGAAGACGAGTTGAGTCAAGTCATACCATGCAGTGGAAACAAGGCATTAATGACCAAAAGTATGTGGACGACAGTGATCTGGCCCTCAGGTTACAGCCTGGGCAAAATATGACAATATAAAATATCAGTGTATGCTGAGAGGCCCAAAGCCTCCATCTTACCGACCACGATGCCGTAAGAGAAGATGAGGAAAGGGACGTTGGGGGCGAAGGCGCTGAGCATAAACCCCCCCGCCACCATCACACCACTGAAGATGGTGACGGGCCGAACTCCAAAGTTCACCACACAAACACTGCAGACAGGACCTGAAGGAGAGGGAGGAGTTAATGTCTGATCTAGCTCGGACCTCTGGGTTCGCTGCTAAATGCTTTGTGTTGAGGTGATATTTCAGACAGAAGTTCTCTGATGGTACAAAAATTCCTTCCTGCAGAACCTGCAGAAAACAATGCTCCTATCAAAAGCTCCATCTGGGCGTTTTTTAAATGTAAATGTTCCATTCACGGGGCCGAGCAGCGTTGTCTCGTCTGCCTCCACCATGTGACAAAGATGCTGTGGCCTTTAATGACACACCGGGTCAAAGGGCAACATGAAATGTGATAAACCAGCTTTAATTTTTTTAACATGTTTTACATTTTTGTGATTAAGTCATTGAAATAGACACATTATCCTGACAGCCCTGATATATACGTTTGGTTATTTATAACATCACACTGTCGGAGTACGAGCGCACTAAGGCAGAGACAGAGCAGCGGAACACCAGGCTTATTTAAAGTGAGACTTCACTGTTCATTCTGCTGGGTCTGGAAGTTTGCATTCACTTGCAGCAGCTGCTCCTCTCTGATCTGATCAGCTCTGAACGGCTCAACAGATCAATTCCACCCCGCGAGTCACAAACTGCTGCTGAGGACAAAAGAACTCATGGAAAGCTCCGTCTGCGCTGTGTTTACGGACCTGCAGAGACTTCCAACTTTAGAGGAAAAAAAATGATTGAAATGTTTTATCGGTTAAAAAAAATAGCGGCCGATTAATTTTCTGTACATCTGCTCTGTGGAGTACTTCTTTGGCCACAGGGATTTTTTTCGGTTGCAATACTGCGAGTGGCCACTGGGATAAATTTGTTGCAAGACTTAACCGTGTTCCTGGACGCCTGGTGGAACATAGCTACAGTAGGTTAGCTGGCTAGCTAGCTGGTGGTGTTGGTGATGTGTATTGTGTGAGACCAGAGATGTAGTTCACTGAGCAGTTTCACACAAAACTAAATGGCACTATGACATACCTTCAACAAACTGCGACTTTCTTGACTTGCAAAATGATCTTTAGAATGAGAGACCTCATATAATAATAATTTATTTGTAGAGCACCTTTCAAAACAAGGTTACAAGGTGCTTAACAATAAAATGATTAGTGCAAATAAAATACATAACAGTAAAAAAACATTAAAATACAGGAATACAGAATAAAAAAAACTAAAAGAGTCACAACAATAATAAAACAGAATCAGTTTAAGAAGGCCAGATGATAAAAGTGGGTTTTAAGAAGTGATATAAAAGAGGACACTGAGTTTGCCTGCCTGACATCTCCAGGCAGGGTGTTCCACAGCCGAGGGGCCCGGGCAGCAAAGGCCCGGTCCCCTTTAGTGACCAGCCGTGTTTTGGGTACCTGTAAGAGGGCCCCGCCGGAAGATCTCAGGCTCCGGTCAGGTTCATAAGAGTTCAGCATGTCACTGATGTAGGCAGGAGCCTGACCATGTAAGGCTTTAAAAACGAGCAGTAAAATCTTAAAACCAATTCTAAAACTCACAGGTAACCAGCGAAGGGCAGCAAGGATTGGCGTAATGTGGTCACTTCTCTTGGTACCTGTTAAAACCTGGCAGCAGCATTCTGAATCAACTGCATTCTTTGAATATTTAGTTTACTAATGCCAGAGTAGAGTGCATTACAATAATCTAGCCTGGATGTGATGAAGGCGTGGATAACCTTTTCTAAATCAACACGAGAGAGGAAGGATTTAATTTTTGTTAACTGTCTTAGTTGGGAAAAGCAGGACTGCAGCACCTTGGTAACCTGAGCATCAAAAGAAAGTTCTGAATCAAAGATGACGCCCAGGTTATGGGCCTCTTTGTGAATGTTGCTGGACAGGACACCCAGACTAGAAGATAGAAAATCTATGTTGTTTGTGCTGGAGCCAGCAGGAGTAACGATGAGCACTTCTGACTTTGAGTCATTTAACTGCAAAAAATTGTTGGACATCCATTTTTTGATGTCAGCAAGACAGGACATTATGCGGGAGACATCAGAGCAACCAGGTTTTAAAGGGACATACAGTTGGGAGTCATCTGCATAAAAATGAAAGTTGACGTCATACTTCTGAATGATTTTCCCAAGGAGTAGTATGTAGATTGTAAATAAAAGGGGTCCTAGAATGGATCCCTGCGGGACCCCGCAAACAAGAGGAGCACTGGAGGAGGAGTTACTGAGCATTACCGAGAAGGACCTATTAGACAGGTATGAAACAAGCCAATCGAGAGCCACATCACTGATACCAACAAAGTTTTTCAGACGGCTAATCAGGATACCATGATCCACGGTATCGAAAGCTGAGCTGAGGTCAAGGAGAATTAAAATCGAGTACTAGCCTGAGTCACTTGTAAGCAATAGGTCGTTTGAGACCTTGACCAAAGCAGTCTTGGTATTGTGTAGAGAGCGGAAGCCAGATTGGAATTTTTCAAAGAGCTGATTGTTGTTCATAAAAGAAATTAGTTGCATAAAAACAATTTTTTCTAAAATCTTGGATAAAAAGGAAGCTTTAAGATAGGTCTAAAATGACTTAAGACAGAAGGATAGAGGGACAGCTTCTTTAAAAGGGGGTGGACGATAGCATGTTTAAAATTTGATGGGAAGATACCTGAAGTGAGAGAAGAATTAATAATAGCTAAAATATCCGGACCAACTGCCTGAAAAACTGATTTTAAAAACTAGTTGGGAATGCAGTCAGAGGAGCAAGTGGGATTCATGGGACTCAGTGGGATATGTGTGATTCATGGCATAATTCGAACAAGATCATTTGTCTCAGTGCTGACTACTGTACATACGTTTTTAAGTAAGGTCCCACGGGAGACACTGGAAGGGGAGGGACTCTCTATGTGGCCTGCAGTATTTATTTCCCCTCCATTATTGTTGATGTGACCCTTCCTCCACTCTGATTGGACATTGGGTTAAAAAATAACAGTTCCCGAAGTTGAACATTTTAACTCACACGACCAGAAAAAAATACGCCAATCGTGCAGTGCTCAGCGCAAAGTAGAAGCTTGGCGCATCATCAGGCTGAAAGCAGTTGCGGAGTGATCAGGGTGCAAAGTGTAGTGGACCCAAAACACCACCAGGCAGTGGTTTAGTTCATCTAATCAATCAATCAATTGGTTGAAGTTGACAAACATTTTCTTTGGTTGATTACAGATCTACAGATCACACTACTCCACTCACCCACTATGAGTCCAACTCCAGCCACCGCTGAGCCCACCCAGGCTGTCATGGCCTTCCCCTCCCCGTAGGCGAGCAGCCACTCAGGGTAGAGGACGCCCACCGACTGAGAAGAGCCATACCCCAGCAGCAGAGCCAGGAAGCTGGACACTACAATCACCCAGCCCCAACCCCCGTCAGGGGCCGGGGGCTGGGCAGCTGGAGGGCTAGGGAATGGGGGCTGGGCTGTTGGAGCAGCTGGAGGGCCAGGGGCCGGGGGCTGGGCAGTCTGGGCAGTTGTAGGGTTGGGGGCTTGAGGCGACATGGTGAGATGAGGGGTGATCTGCAGGGACACTTCAGGATGAGGAAACAAGCTGAGCAGTCTTCTGTGGAGGAGAGAGGAAGGGTGCAGGTGAAGAGTTCTGTATGTAGTATGACAGTCGTTCAGTGTAGTGCAGTACTACTACATGTTTTACATAACAAGTATTATCAGCTAAATGTAGTCGAGGTATCAAAGTTTAACTCAGGAGCACTTCAGTCCTTACTTAAAGATAAGATAAGATACACCTTTATTGATCCCACAATTGAGAAATTCCAGAAAGGAACACTTCACCTGTAAAATAACCATTTGTGAATCACTTACTCACCTCATGTTACATTTCATTTACTAAGAAAACTTTGTTTCTGTATGAATTGAGGAAACCGGGACCACGTTTAACAACATCGAAACTCTGTCAAAACATCAGTTTATTAACTGTTTTAATTGAGTGAAAATATTCATCTACACTTCAGCATGTTTATCACCCTGTATTTCTACTTTTATTGTTATTGTTGTTTGTTGTTTTGTATGATTCCATTTCTGTTTTAAATGATATTCATGATGATTTCCCGAGTCTTAATAAAGGTATGAATGAATGAATGAATGAATGAATGAATGAATGAATGAATTTGATCACAGTGTTAACGTGTTGATCTGGTACACATCAGCCTGCAGCATCATCTGATATGATTCATACATGTTTGTTGTAATTCAGGATGAAAAAGCGTGAAGTCCGTCAGCAGCCACAGAGCTGCAGCCTGTTTACACTGCAACTACCAAATGTTGAATAAAGGCTGGCTGTATGTTCACCCCTTAGGTTTGTTTGCTTGTGAGTCAGGCAAACAACACTATCATGTAATAGAAAGTCACACTTTGAAGGAGGAGACAGCAGTGTGCTCCAGGACCGTCATTATCATGTGAAACTCTAAGGACGAGGACCACAGAGTCAAAACCTGTCAGTGTTTTAATGTTAGCAGCCATGTTTTGGAATAAAGGCTTTTTAACTTGACTCAGATGCATCTGTTCCTGCTCCACGCACAAGTGCCTGAGTTCATCCTTTCTTTCCATGTGCTGACTATGATATAATACTTTCACTTCTGTAGGATTTTAAATGAATTCTATTGGTTATTAAGTATGTTTACGTTGATTTTTTGGTACTTCTGATACTTTTGAATACTTCAACCCCCAAATGACCATTTGTGTATTAATTACTCAGCCCAGGTTAGGGTGTATTAGTCGCTTGTTTCGACGGAGAACTAAGAATCCAAAAAGGCGAACATTCTTTATGATTAGAAGAAAACGGGACCGTGTTTAACAACAGCAAAACTATATCAAAACATCAGTTTACAACCTGTCACACAGCTCAAACAGTATAATCCAAGTCTCCTTTATCCAGTTGTATGATCAGTTCTACACAAAGACGTGCATTTTTGCTAAAAGAAAAACATCACTATTTAAAACACACCTGGCACAATTTTCCGCCCTGAGCGTTCCTGAGCATGCGTCTGCGTATGAGCTTCCCTTAACCCTCTGAAACCTGACAGTAAATTGGTATATCTTCTAAAAAAAGGGAAGGAGGCAACGAGCCACAAAAGAAGAAGTGACCCGAAAAATTGGCAAGAAATTTGTAAAAAAAATATATATATATAAATAAATAAAATTAAAAACAAGAAAATTAGTTAAACTCAAAAGAAAGAAAGCTGAAAACAAATGAACAAGTAAAGTGTGATTAAAAATCATAATTTTTAAACGTGATAATAAGAACAATAACAATAATTCTAAATTATTATAAATCTAAATTGCCCGAGCTTTGTCCTTATTTTCTCTAGTTAAAAAAAAAAAATCTAAATCTTTTATTTTTCTTGCAATTTCTTTGACATTTCTCACCAAGTTGCTTATTGCTTTTTTTTTTTTTTTTGGCCATGTTTTCGATAGAAATTGCACCAATTTGCTCAGGGTTCATAGGTGATGTCACTGCTTTATTAAATATGCAAGTGATGCATTATGTAATATTATATACTTTCTCATAAATTTCCAAAACAGAATTCTGAACTAAAATAAACACCTAAATGTGTATTTTTTTATGTGATATTGAAGCAAAATCGCCCAAAATTTCAAAATTGATCAGTGCATGAAAAACTATGTCTTCATCCGGGGGTCTGGCCTGAAGTAAAAGTACATGGTCGTATTATCAGCGGTGAGGGGAGTATTCAGATCCTTTATTTAAGTAAAAACATTTGTGTTGTCACTGTGTAATTTTGTGTTTAAACACAACATTTGATGAAGTTTCAGGACTTTTAGTTTAATAAAGGATCTAAACACTTCCTCCACCTCTGATAACACTACCATGTTCTGTAACTTAATTTAAATGAAGTTACAAACAGTCAGATTCAGCCCAGCTCTCCACCACAGTGACTTCATGCTGTCAGCGGGGGGGGGGGGGATCATCTGGACCGGCACACTGTCGGTCACACTGTCCCGTCAGCCTCACGAGTGTCCGGTCCTCTCCTTGCCACCAAACAAACACGGCGACGCACAAACCAACGTGGTGACGATGAATAAAAGTTTACCTGGTTCATAGGGCTCCTTCCTCCTGCGGCCCCACAGGCTGTCTCCATCTCCCTCGGCTGCTCTCGGTGTGTTTTCACGGCTCCAGCTCCTCCATCCTCCCGCTGCAGGAGGCGGGGTCCGTTTAACAGACACACAAACCGGTTTGATGCTGTTCCTGCCTGCGTGCGTCCTCCTGCTGCCATGATTGACATGTTGGGGGGGGGCGTCTCTGTCTGCAGGGCTGGAAGAAGAACTCAGTACTTCAGTAAAAGCACCTACACAATCTAAAATACAAATAACAATAACATGTACAAGTAAGAGTAGGGGCAGTGGCGTAAGGTAGTGACAATGGGCCCCAGTGCACGCTATTATGAGGGGCCCTATTACGCCCAAGTTACAAGTTATGAAGCACACACACACACACACACACACACACACAGTTTTAGGAGTATATTTTAGCAACAGTGTGTCTTACTGCCGCGTTTACGTTACATCCACTTGCAGATACTTGATACTGGACACATTAACACACATATTACACAGCAATCATCATTACATATCTGTATAAGACAAATCTACAAAAGAAAATAGGAAATTATTAGTTTAACTTGATAGTTTTTTATTGGTAAATTATAGGTTTTTTAAATAGTTTATATAGAATAAGTTTATAATTTGTTATAGACTGACACTGTTTTACTGAACCAGAAAACCATGATGGAGATGGGTTTCCCTTATTTAGAGCACGTATGGACAATAGCAGCATTTTTGTTTTAATGTGAGCTCTTCTTTGAACACGGGCGCATTTCCATGTAGCAGTCAGGCCCCTCCACCCCATGGGCCCCAGTGCATTGTCTATATTTACGCCCCTGAGTAGGGGGCAGTCATTAGATCTGTGCTCCCAGAGGGCACCCTCAAATTTTCAGAATTTGAGGTCAGAGGTCATCAAAGGGACATTTCAGGAATAAAGTGGGATTTATAGTTGTGTGTCAGCTCTATGAGGAGTCTACACCTCTGTGAGCATTTGTACTTGTGTGGTGGTGTGTCTGTGTCACTCTGCAGTTACACCTCCAAAACACTAGTGGGTGGTGGAGTTTCTGTGAAGTGCTGTAAAGTTTAGTTCATTGAAACTAAATCACACATTAAACACACGTTAAACACATTAAACACATGTTAAACACATTAAACACATATTAAACACACATTAAACACACATTAAACACATTAAACACATGTTAAACACATTAAACACACATTAAACACACATTAAACGCATTAAACACACATTAAACACATGTTAAACACATTAAACACACATTAAACACATATTAAACACACATTAAACACATTAAACACACATTAAACACACATTAAACACATTAAACACACATTAAACACATTAAACACACATTAAACACATGTTAAACACGTTAAACACACATTAAACACATGTTAAACACATTAAACACATATTAAACACACATTAAACACATATTAAACACATGTTAAACACATATTAAACACATGTTAAACACATTAAACACACATTAAACACATTAAACACACATTAAACACACATTAAACACACATTAAACACATGTTAAACACATTAAACACATTAAACACACATTAAACACATGTTAAACACATTAAACACACATTAAACACATTAAACACATTAAACACATGTTAAACACATTAAACACACATTAAACACACGTTAAACACATATTAAACACACATTGAACACACATTGAACACACATTAAACACACAGTAAACACGCATTAAAAATGGTTTAATAGAGACAGTTTCAAACACAAGAACACAAATCAGCGTCACTATAACTCGCAGCATTCACAGACAAACACTTGTCTTTATCTAGACACATTTTCCTCACAAATACAACATGCTAACGTTATTAGCACAAGCCTATGGCATTTTACATTGTATAAATTAGCCTAGCAGCTAGCAGACTTTTCCTCTGCTCATATGAAGCCAGGGACAACAGCAGCATTTAACAAAGGTAACGTTACAAAGTTCGTCTCCATTACAACTCACAAGGTTCACCGTCAAAACAACTGACTGACTTGGAGACGAGGATCAGGCAGTGCTAACATGCTAACTCATTTCCAGATTTTAGCACTCCCTCCTGGAGTACTGTAGGCCTATAGACAGACAGTGCAACTAAGCTTACTGCGATCTCTGATATCTCACTGGAAGTTGCACCCATAATCACCTCTACAGTCGAGCCATCAGGAATAAAGTGGATGAAATTTAATGGTGATATTTTTATTTTGACATGTAAAAATACTAAAAGTCACTTAAGGTGTCTTAAGCAGGTTTTATACTTCTGCGTCAAATCGACGCTGCACCTCCAACGTAGCCTGACGTGCACCTCCCCAGAAATGTAACTACACGTTGCAGTGACGCAGACCTCCTGTCTGTCTCTGTAAGCTGAAACCATTTCCCTCAGTGGACTCAAAGCTTTTATTTACTTTAATTTCACAGATAAGAAACAATAAATTGTGAAGACAGTAAAGCCTCTACACACTGTGTGTGATTTATCCTGGCTGAAATATGAGCAGAGGAAATCTTTGCTAGCTGCTAGGCTAATTTATACAATGTTAAATGCCATAGACGTGCCTGTGCAAGCTCAAGAGGGCGGATATCTGTCAGTCATTTTTTTGATGTGGCCAATCAGAGGCCCACAGTTCCCTGTCAGTTAACCAGTGAGATGCTATGACATACCGCAACAAAATACCGTCCGTCTCTGCAACCCGGTCTCACTCTGAGTTGTCAAAATCCGGCGCTTGGGCAGTGACTTGCTGCGTCAGAGACTGACGAAAAAAGCTGCCCGTTCCTGACGACATGATACAAGGCTGGAAACGTGGTGGGACAAGAACGAAAGTTAAGGTGGCAGAAGTCTGGGTACAGTGGAGGGGAGGGGTTGTGGATGGGTCCAACAACCTCAGACTTTCACCCTAAAGAGAGCAGTGTTTACGTCCCGTAAGATTATTAAGTCAGACCACGTTCTTTTTTTAATAAACCCATGTGTGTGTGTTGCTGAGGGAACAAAAACTCAGTTGGCAGTGTTATACTTACATAGTGCTTTTATTTTGAAAGGGACTGTATGCAAACTGTGCATTTCCTTTGAAAACAGAAGTGTATTTTGAAAACAGACAATGCATGTAACAGGCTGAAGTTGACACGGCGTTCCAGAACGTCAACAACCAACACACCCAGGGTACCTTGGACGTCATATGTGGACTTGGAAAGTCCATGACCAAACGTGGACGTGTGACGAGGTCGCAGTGAGGATGGGTTGGTCTCTGCTCAGGCAGAACTCAAACATCGGTTCAAATCAGTCTGGTTGGCCTTCACCTGGAATGTGACACACCTGTAAAAATACAAACAAACAAACAAACAAACAAACAAACAAAAAAACAGGCATTACTTACTTACGTGTACACAGCCCTATCCCACTATCAAGTGTCCTCTGTTTAAAAAACCCACGTACATGCGCTAATTTCGGAGGTCAAACAGTCATTCTTCATCACCCAAGTCGACGTTATGTCACAACAGTAAGACTGGACTGCATTAGACTATACAGGTTTACCTAATAAAAAGGACATTGAATGGAATTAAAGCCAGTCTTTAAAGTCAAAGGTTAAATGGAATGGTAATGGAAGCAAGTCATGTCAAGTTTGGGTGCCAACAATGTTACATAATCCAAATGCACACACAGACTCAAGGACATAAGTTTCCACCTGTTGGCACAACGTTTAACCTGTGAGAAACAGCAGCTGTTCAGGAATATTTGGAATATAAATACATGTCAATAAGAGCGTCCAAACAGACTGACGTCTGGATTTTCATCTGGTCACTTCATCAGAAATCTGACCATGAAGGTAAGTCTCACTATGATTATTTAAAATAATAATTCTATTACAGTGATTTATTTCTTGTTTCTGTATTTAGCACTTATATTTACACAGGTGACCAAACATTTTCTTGGGAAAAAATTTCAAAAGTTTTCCATGACTTTTCAAGGACTCATAAGAAAATTTTTCGAGATCATTCATAACTTATAAATCAAACAGAATTGTTCAGTGTACTTTACTCCTAATGTTAGTTATTGTATGAAAATTAATCAGCAACCTTTTGCAATCTCTAGTGTTGTGTTCATATTCACTTTAATAATAATAATAAATTCTATTTATATAGCACCTTTCAAGACACAAAGTGCTTTACAAAACCGAACAAAAGACAAGGTAAAAGCAATAAAAAAAGAATACACAAAAAGTAAAACGTGCAATCATAAATCAGATAAAATCAATGGTCATTGAGTTTGCAGCTCTGATCTCCTCAGACAGGTCACACCAAAGTCGAGGCACTGTCGCCTCTGTGAATTAATCCAGACCTCAGAACAACAAGAGAAGATTCATCTGAGGATCTGATCTGAGCATGCACATCAGAATTAGGATGATGATGAGGATATGGTTTATAACTGCAGAGTAGTAGAAGTAGAATCCTGATCAGAGGCCTGAACCACCTCAACTGGACCCTTTTGACGTGACGCAGCAGCTTCACTCTACAGAGAAACTGTGGTTTTAATAAAACTGAATTTCAATCTTCTGTTCCAGCTGGTATCCGTCATCGTCCTCCTCCTGGCTCCGGTGTTTACCAGCGGCTACAAGCTCGTCCTCCCAGTGGACTGCGGTGACATCTATAACAATGACAACACCCAACCCAGTGGAGTGTACACCATCTATCCCATCGGAGCCACGTCTGCTGTCCAGGTACACTTCATCCTCTCTGGGACACAGAGTGACCTTTAGCCTACCATACACTAGTAGACTTTTAAAAGACTTTGAGAAGACAGTCTGACACCCTCTCACATCTAAAGACAACGTGGGTCACACACACTAGAAGATTTTACAAAGACTGGGGATCCTGCAGGGTCACTGTTTACAGGACTACAACTGGGCTTCTTTTGAGATTATTTCACATCCTGCTCCTGGTGAAATATTACGCCAAACTCCCTTTAAGAAACACGACAGATTAACAAGTCCTTACATGTCAGCAAAAACACATATTATTATATTATCATCATTATTATACTTCTGCATTGAATTGACGCTGTAGTACCTCTTCCCTTGTGCCGTGATCCCGGGACCGAATTTCCCTCTTAAAACTCCTTTGTTCTCCTCCATGAGCTGCGCTTACAGCAGGCATTGCTCTTCTGTCCAGTTCTGCTTTCTCGTTCTTTTTTTCTCCATTTTTTTCGTTGTTTTGGTCATTCTGCCAAATCAAATGCTTTTTACAAGGAGGCCAGCAATCACAGTAACTGCTGACAGCTGAGTCTGCTTCCACCATTAATATCAAATAGATTAAGTAGTAAAATTACCAGCATGGCGAGTAAACATAACAATAAGCAAATCAATATAATAATCTGCATGTGAATGAGGTACGTTCAAACATTTTGAAGCTGTGTAACAATTAATTTAATTTTGCTGAGTTTCATCATCATGACATAAAATTGTTTTCACGATTACACATTTCTTAATAGCCTACAGTCTAAGTTCTATGATCGGTTCATTTCACTGTCCATTCATTACTAGGAGTGCTTTTTTTTTCTTTTTGTAACAACCAATCACAGCTTTTAGAAGACTGCGTCATACCTAGCAACGGGGTCAACCACACCTCCTCACTAAGATAAAAGTTTCTGTCCCCTCCTTGCTCAGAGTTGCTCTCAGAAACTTCCTGAATCACTCTTAAGCTAAGATTCCTTGCTAGGAATTTTTAGGCTAAGTTACGAGCTCTCTGACAGGACTCTGAGAATCTTTGTGAATATGGGCCCTGGTTTACTGTGTCATATTTGGTGCTGGAGAGAGTGCAACGATTGTTGTTGGCCACGTTCGTGTCATTTAACTTCAATATATCAACCAAAACTAAAGACTAAATTTTATCAGAGAGTCAAGATGAGGAAACGACTGACTTACGACAGCTCGGACTGAGTTTTGTGACCATTTTACACCAAACAATCAAGATCACGGGAACGCGCCACAACTAAGGTAAAACTCTTAGGATTTTATGACAAAAGTTTTCAACGTGTAAAGACAGTGAGATCATCTCTTACAGAAACATAGTAAGTTCTGACTGATGCTTCTGACTCGACAGATACAAGCAGTCGTAGTTGTAGCAGCAACAGTAGTAGTTGTGGTGCTAGAAGGCACTAGTAGTCGTAGTACTGCTGGTTGTGGCACATATGGATATATTTACTAGTTTCAAATGGATCAGGTTTATTAATGAGTGTGTGTGTGTGTGTGTGTGTGTGTGTGTTTGTGTGTAGGTGTACTGTGACATGGACTCACTAGATGGACGGTGGACGGTGAGTATTTCAACTCTAGTTATGAATTCCAGGACCTGTTTAGACTGATCGGAGGCCGTCATTGATTCTACCAAGTGCGCTCTGCTAACTATCTGATCTCTTACCAACAAGTCCTCTTTAGTTAATGTTCCTAGTGCCAGAGGTGCGACCGAGTCATTGTTTTGCAAGTCCTGTTTCCACACTGCAGTCTGACTGGTCAGTAGAGGACGGTCCCTCTGCTCAGGGCTGAGTTGTGTCTGGTTTTGAGGCTCATGTAACCACTGTTCACACTGTGGCAAGTCTTATGGTGGGTTCATATTACACGATATCAGCCCGATGTAGCGTTGTTCGGTGTCAGCTCAGATTGTGAACGACAACAAGTGTCGTACGCAATACTCCATCCTTTCATCTTGTGTACTGTCATAGCAGATGACAACCGACGCCACATCTGGGGCGCCTCACGACGTCCCGATAGAAAGTCTAGCATGTTTGATTTTCTTTTTGTCGTTCACGACTTCTCTTGTCACAGACGTCACTTTGACCAATAGGAACACAGAGCGATCTGCTGCCGTGGAAACTGTAATACAACAGCCCAGCCTTTTTCCCTCTATGGATGTTACCATGACAGAGTATAAAAGGAGAAAATTAAGTAATAAAATTAATCTTATTAATCTTCATCTGAAACAGACTACATTATAAACAGGACATTTTTTTTATTAATTCCTCTGTATTTTTATATCTTTACTTTTGATCTGCTCCCGTTTGCCTTGGTAAAGTTAATGCATTGCGCCGTCATTTCAAATTTACCAAGTGCAGAAATAGAAACGTGACATTGTGGTTTAAAAAGCCGCCTCCTTATAGTTTGAACTAGCTTAGCCCTGGGGCCTGAACAGGGTTCACACAGCCTGATTCCTGACTACAGGCCTACCACTGGTACAAACTTTGTTGTGTTGAAACATGAGGTGTCTGATACTTTGTGTGTTTCACTAGTTAACCCTCCATCCTGTTCCTCCAGGTGTTCCAGAGGAGGATGGACGGCTCGGTGAACTTCTACAGGCCCTGGGATCACTACAAGATGGGCTTTGGTGTCGCTGCGGGAGAGTACTGGCTCGGTGAGACATGAAACCAAACTAACAGTCACGACTTCATCAGACTGTTTCTATAATGTTTATGTCTGTGTTTGTGTTCAGGTCTTGAGAATCTCTTCCACCTGACTCTGAGGAAAAAGTACGAGCTGCTGGTCAACATGGAGGACTTTGGTGGAAACAAAGTGTTTGCTCGTTACTCCTCGTTCTCCATCGATCCAGAGTCCTACGGATACATGCTGCATGTGTCTGGATTCACTGATGGAGGTGCAGGTCAGTAAGAGTTTTGTATCCACAATGTCTTTATTGAAGTAGCCCCTCTTCTAATTTTGAAAACATAACTTGGTTAAGGTCCAAAGGGTTCTGACTGCTGGTAGCTGTAATTAGTTAAACATGCTGAACTGTAATTTTATGGCTTATTTGTTGTTTCAGAGTTTAAGCTAAGATAATATGAGCTGATTTGCCAGGAAGGGGTCCGGTTTCAGGGCCTCAGAATTGCATCTCTGCTTTTTGTAGACGATGTGGTTTTGTTGGCTACATCACACCATGACCTCCTGCCTGACCTGGGGCGGTGTGCAGACAAGTGTGAAGCTGTCAGGATGATTCAGCACCTCCAAATCTGAGGTCATGGTTCTCTGCTGGAAAATGGCGGATTGCCCTCTCCGGGTTAGGGGAGAGTTAGTGCTCCAAGAGAAGGACTTCAAGTACCTCAGAGTCTTGTTCACGAGTGAGGGTAGAATGGAACGTGAGATGAATCGGCAGTTTGGTGCAGCTTCTGCAGTGATGCAGGCGTCACCGTTGTGGTGAAGAGGGAGCTAAGACAGAAGTCAAAGCTTTTGATTTACCAGTCCATCTACGTCCCAACCCTCACCTATGGTCATGAGCTCTGGGTAGTGACCGAAAGAACGAGATCGCGGATACAAGCAGCAGAAATGAGTTTCCTCCGTGGGGTGTCTGGGCTCAGCCTTAGAGATAGGGGGAGGAGTCAGACATCCAGAGGGAGCTCAGAGTAGAGCTGCTGCTCCTTCATATTAAAGGGGTCAGTTGAGGTAGTCCTGGGTGCCTCCTGTTAGAGGTGTTCTGGGCACGTCCAACTGGTAGGAGGCTCCAGGGCAGAAACAGAAAACACTGGAGGGATTAAATATCTCATCTGGCCTGGGAACACCTTGGGATCCTCTAGGAGAAGCTGGAAAGTGTTGCTGGGAAGAGGGATGTCTGGGGTGCTTTGTTCGGCCTGCTGCCCTATGTGAATGTTAGCTGTATCATAATGTTCTGATTATACACTGTTGTGTTTCTGTAGGAGACTCCCTGAGTTATCACAATGGACGTCAGTTCTCCACCTTCGACAGAGACCAGGACACCTGGGGGGACGGGAACTGTGCCAAATTCCACCTGGGGGCGTTCTGGTATGGACACTGTCAGCTTGCAAATCCAAACGGGGTTTATCGATGGGGGGCTGACAGCACACTTTCTCGTGTTGGAGTGGAGTGGCACTACTGGAAGGGTAATGACTACTCCCTGAAGACCATCAGCATGAAGATCCGTCCTGTGCAGTAGTTCTCCAGGACCGACGTACAGCAGACTATCAGATGACTTTTTTATTTTTTAACTAAAAAACAAAAATGATTCACTGCTGGTTAAGATGTGACCTTCAGTCTGCTGGCTGCAAACACTCAGCTGTAAAGTCAAACTAACTCGCTTCAACAATGTTTGTTGGAGGTTTGAAACATTGATGTGAATCATTATCTGCTGTATGGTGACAATAAATGAGAAGCTGAGCAGAAATCTGATGTGAGCTGATGTCTTCACTTTGTCTCCTGTGTCTCTATGTCTTAACTGACCCTTTCACTAAGCCCCGCCCCTTTGTGATGGTCTGACAAGCTGTCAGAGTAATCATGGATCCCACAGTGGAGAAATATTCCCTGAAGAAATATTAACATATTTTTTGTGAAAATGAAAGAGTGATTCCAGAGAGAAGCAGACAGAGGGGTCTACAGTCTGTGTTTGAAGGATATATCCAGGATGTCAAACTGACTCAGCAGCAACAACAGGTTAAAAAGACAAAGATAGTTAGAAGCAAAAGCCGAACTATAGGCTACAGATCACAGTGTAAAAGTGAACCACTACATCACTGCTGATCGCCACACAAGACATGTTTGGCTTCGCCGTCGTGCTGCTGCCAGCACAGGCAGGGATCTCTGGGGGACTACTACTGGAAAGATAAGGCATTAGAGGAGTAGCTCACAAATGGCTCAGTAACTCATTTTAAAATAGACATCAATATGTGCAAATAAACAATAATTAGTCTGACTTGCCAAGGGTTATATGTGGGGTCCCACAAGGGTCGGTGCTGGGTCCACAACTGTTTATATTGTACATAAATTTGTCATGTGTCCAAGTTGTTTAATTTTGTTCTGGTAAAAACCTTGAGCAGCTTCTGGATACAGTGGAAACAGAACTGGATATTTTAAGACGATGGTTCAGCATTAACAAGTTGTCACTGAATTGTTATTTATTTAGGGTTAGGTTAGGGTTAGGGTCATAAATGAATAGGCTAAACAAGAGTAGTCCCCCGAGGGTCAGGGTTAGGGTTAGGGCTAGATGGAGGAACAGCTGCAGCAGAGCGACTTCAGCGGAGTCTGGAGAGGTCTGAAAACCATCTCAGGACACAAACAAGCAGACCCCCAGGCCAGAGGCGACCAGCAGTGGGTGAATGATCTGAATCTGTTCTTCAATAGATTTGATCAGTCTGCCCCTCCCCTGGCCCAGACATCACGGCTGCAACCCCCCTCATCCTCACCTTCACCTTCCCCCTCACCTACACTCCTGGCACTCTGCTTTGACACCTCCTCCACCCCTGCTCCCCTGGACATCTCACCAACCCCCTCTCCTCCCCCCTCCTCTTCTCCCCCTCCCCCCTTCTCTCATCCCCCCTGCTCCAGCTTGTCCTTCACTACCTGTCAGGTGAGAGATCAGCTGAGGAAGATAAAGACGAGGAAGGCTGCTGGTCCAGACTGCATCAGCTCCAGGCTCCTGAAGTCCTGCGCAGACCAACTGTGCGGGATAGTTGAAACCATCTTCAACCTGAGCCTGAGGCTGGGAAGAGTACCACAGCTGTGGAAGACATCCTGCGTGGTACCTGTGCCCAAGACTCCGCACCCCAAGGACTTCAGCAGCTTCAGACCGGTGGCATTAACATCACACCTCATGAAGACCCTGGAGCGCCTGGTCCTGTCTCGTCTCCGCCCCGGAGTAGGCCCTTCAATGGACCTGCTGGAGTTTGCCTACCAGCCTGGCATTGGGGTGGACGACACCGTCATCTTCCTCCTGCATAGAGCTCTTTCTCACCTGGAGAAGCCTGGAAGCTCTGTGAGAATCATGTTCTTTGATTTCTCCAGCGCTTTCAACACCATACAGCCTGTGCTTCTGAGGGAAAAACTGGAGCGCATAGGGGTGGCTAATCACCTCACATCCTGGATCCTGGACTACCTCACGGACCAGCCGCAGTATGTCAGGACCCAGGATTGTGTATCGGACTTGGTTGTCTGCAGTACAGGGGCCCCGCAGGGGACAGTGCTGGCACCGTTCCTCTTCACCCTCTACACTGCAGACTTTTCACACGACACCCCCACCTGTCATCTGCAGAAGTTCTCTGATGACTCTGCCATCGTCGGCCTCATCACAGATGGGGACGACAGGGAGTACAGAGAACTGAACCAGGACTTTGTGGACTGGTGCCTGAGGAACCACCTTCAGATCAACGTGGGTAAAACCAAAGAGCTGGTGGTGGATTTCCGCAGGCGCAGACTCCTCCCCCCAACACCGGTGGACATCCAGGGAAAGGACATTGAGATGGTGACATCTTATAAGTACCTGGGTGTTCATCTTAACAATAAACTGGACTGGACTGATCACATAACAGCACTGTACAGGAAAGGCCAAAGCAGACTCTACCTGCTGAGGCGGCTCAGGTCTTTTGGAGTGCAGGAGGCGCTCCTGAAGACCTTCTTTGACACTGTGGTGGCATCAGCCATCTTTTACGGAGTGGTCTGCAGGGGCAGCAGTGTCTCGGCAGCAGATACGAAGAGACTGGACAAGCTGATCAAGAAGGCCAGCTCTGTCCTGGGATGCTCTCTGGACTCTGTGCAGGTGGTGGGAGAAAGGAGGACGACAGCCAAGCTATCATCTCTGAGGACTAATGACTTCCATCCTTGGCAGGAGGAGATAAAAGCTCTGGAGAGCTCCTTCAGCGACAGACTGATTCACCCAAAGTGTGTGAAGGAACGCTAGCGCAGGTCCTTCCTGCCTGCTGCTGTCAGGCTTCACAACCAGCACTGCTCACAGTAAACTGCACCATGAACACTATTGACACCACAGCAGTCTGCTGTTTTGGACATAAAATCACTTGCACTAGATGTGCTCCCTTTATCCACTGCTCATTTTCATTCACTGCTGCTCATTATTATTATTGTTATTATTTATTGCCATTTCTTGTATTTTTGTACTTATTTTGCATGCCTAGTTTTTAAGTTTTAAGTTTTTAAGTTTAAATTTTGAAATCTTTAATCTGACTCTTTCCCCTTGACTGCTGTAACACTGGAATTTCTCAATTATGGGATCAATAAAGGTGCATCTTATCTTATCTTATTTAACCTGTTATTAACCAGAAAAACCTCTTGAGATTAAAAATTTCTTTTTCAAGAGTGACATTATAGATTTAAAAAAATATTTGAACACAAGACGATGAACAAATATAAAACTGAAGTACAAACACCAGAGTGTACATGAGATGTGATTAGGATATTTGGGCGACAACAGGCCGATATAATGTAGTTTATGTCAGTTTCTTATCGCTCTGAATGATTTAAACTAAACTGATTTCAGCTACAGCATTCACACTGTATTTTTCTGTGGAAAATCTCTGCTCTGGTTTTTGTGCCTTTCCGCCCCTGAAGAAGATTGAGTTCAGCTTTGTGACCACTAGAGGGCAGCGATTCACCATCATTTCTGTTTGTGAACAGAAAGGAAGGTGAGTGTCCTCCGAACTTTTGAACAAAGAGAATGAAGACAGAAAGACACAGGAGACAAAGTGAAGTCATCAGCTCACATCAGACTTCTGCTCAGTTTCTCATTTATTGTCTCCATACAGCAGATAATGATTCACATCAGTGTGTCAAACCTCCAACAAGCGTTGTGTTCAGACACCCAGTGCAGGGTGACATTTGGTCTGAACGTCTAATACCTCTTTTTATCCAGCTAAAATGCAGGAACAGCATCAACATGTCAAAGTTACAAATTTGTTTAATTATGTTGGTAATTTGTTCAGTTGTAGGTCAAAAGAGAGACGATACTGATCAGTGTGTGAGCTGTTAGTTTGACTTTAAAGCTAAGTGTGTGTTTGTCTGCAGGATTTTATTATTAGGCTTTTAATTTTTTTTATCATGTTTTCTTTGTCATTTCATTTGCTGTAAATTGTGTTTGCAGAAAATAGAGTGAACATGTTATCAGACCCTATGTGTCTGTTTCCATCTAAAGATTATCTGAGATTATGAACTACAGAGAGAAAAGAATAAAAAGACTACTGCACAGGACGGATCTTCATACTGATTCAGGGAGTAGTCATAACCCTTCCATCCAGACCACTCCACTCCAACAGCAAAGAGTGTGCCATCAGCCCCCCATCGATAAACACCATTTGGATTTGCTACGTGACAGTCGTTATACCAGAACGCCCCCAAGTAGGTTCTGGCACAGTTCCCTCCCTCCCAGGTGTCCTGGTCTCTGTCAAAGGTGGAGAATTTCTGTCCATTGTGATAACTCAGGGAGTCAGCTGCAGAAACACAAGGGTACCATCAGAATACTGTCATACAACTAAAACTAGTATATTTTTAACCTGTATAACCACAGTTAACTTGTCTAACCTTTAACCTACCACTGTCCACCTCAGTATGACTTCAGTACCAAGACAACAACTACTGAACTAACCAGACACTCAACACACCCACAGACTGGTGACTTTTAACAGCTGCAGACGTCACGATGTTATCACCTGGAGGTGCAGCTGCCTCTCCCCCACAGGGCTGAAGGCTACATAGGAGTCTTAAAATGTGTTTGTCTTGTTGTGTTATTGGAGCCAGAATGGAAGGAGTCATGGCTCAAAACCAGCCGCCACTGCCCGTCAACAAAAACAAAGACAACTATGGTTAAATGTAGGGTGACCATATTTTGATTTCCAAAAAAGAGGACACTCGCCCTGGCCACAAGATAGCCTACTTAAATGATACTCGCAGTTTACTCAAAGATGCCTTATAATTGTAATATATTTAAAGTTTGTATGGATAGAAAATTCAGTTATATTACAAAATAATATCTCTCAAAAACAGAAACTTAGATAGGCTTCTCAGAGGTTACTCAACTTGCTTTTATTATGCCTAAAATAATAATCTTTTTACAAGTTTCAATTGTACAAAAATAATATAAATGTAAAATAAATGTAAAATCTCTGGAATGAAATAATGATAGAAATAATGTCTCTTCTGTATTAGAAAAATCAACTTGTAAAATAAATGCTATCTTTTCAAGTCTTACTGGACAAATAAATAAATAAATAATATGAAATAATGTTCTAAATAATACCTCTTCTGTATTGGAATATCCAACTTTGAGGTCCCCAGCACCTTTATTAGACACAGAATCATATGTGCCAGCTTTGCACACGGTGCACTCAGCCTCCCATATATCCCGACCGGGTCGGGACGGTAAGTTGGGAATTTTTTCTGCAGTTCATCTGTGAAGCTGCACTTGTGCTTCGGCATCTTGGAAGCTTAGAATAATGCTGCGCCGCCGGTATCTGCTGCTTCCTCGTTGTGAGTGTTGAAGATCCAACGATAAGGCAGCCTCTCAGAGATTACGCACGCACGCACGCACACACACACACACACACTAGGGCTGTACCCAAATATTCGGATATTCGAATATTCGTTTCTATGGGTAGGTATTCGTTATGAAAATCTGGTATTCGATATTCGTTTATTTATTTATTTTTTTATTTTTTTTACATTTTTTTTGGTGCTAAATGTAGTCTTTTTGTTGTTGGTAAATGTAGGTTATCAATAAAAATCAAAACTTTTAAATTGCATTGTTAAAAATGTGAAAATATAGTATAGCCTACTGAGCTTGTGCGCACGGCACGCTTGAGCGCATCCGTCTGAGGCTGTGGATCAATGCCAAGTTTTACCACTTTATCACTATTCCCTCTAACTTGTAGCTGTTTTTTCATTATCTTTTGAATTTAATATGAATTATGGAACCGTTTTTGTCAACGTTTGTTTGCCACATTTTGTACAATAAATCATTGTTTAAAGTTTCAACAAGTTTCTTTTGGAGTGCGTGACACAAGTGTGTTTTGAAAACGGCCGCGGACTGTCACCTGCTCAACGCATCAGTACCTTCGGATGCCATGACAGTAATAGATTATAGATTAATAGATTATAATAATAATAATGTCAAAATATCATTTACAGACAGATTTAACAGACGATCACTGCTGCCCGACCCGCAGGTCCATTTGTGGGTCCCGAGGGGTACGGGTCGACCCGCGCATCACTACTCAGCTCAGTCTATAAAGGCTGTACACACAACAGTAAGGCTATAGACATTATATTCTATTCAGGCCGGCAGAACCAGCAGCACATCGGCTCTACAGTGCACAGCACTGCTGATTAACCATTTTATTGCAGCACAGAGTGTCTGCCAGCAACCAATTACTTGCAGAGGCTTCCTACAACTTGTTTTAACGGTTCCGATTTAATTAGAAGACAAATTAAACATGATGACTAGCCAATGTGAAAATCAAAAGTAAGCATAGAATAATGTACCGAAGGAGACTGTTGTGCCATCACATTTTTTGTGGTTTGAGAGCAAAGATCCGGTCGCCGCTGTGCAAAACTCCGCAATACAATTAGGTCCGAAAACCCCTGTAAGAGTGCTTCGCAAGGAGTCTTTGAAAGGAGCCGAGCCTGGCGTAAAACCGGAGAGAGCAGGCAGCACAGCCACAGCACGGCCACAGCAGCCCCCCGTTGGTCAGTGTTTACTTGTTCAAGTAACACTGGTGGTCCCGGAGAGTGAGTGACCTGACATGGTGCGTTGGTAAATTCAGTCTGACGCTTGTTAGCTAGTGTTGGCTCATGTCTGTGGAGAACTGTTTTGCCTCCAGCTAAGCCCCGCCCACCCACCTGTCTACTAACAGTAAAAGAGTTTATTATCATTTATTTAAAACAGATATCCACACACTGAGTCGGCTATAACTCTTGAACATCACATTGATGCAACTGAGAGCACGTGTGAACTACCGAGTGAAGAAGTTTAAACAGCTGCAGTAACAGATAAATGTCTGAAATTGACAGTTAAAAGTGGAGCTGCATGGGGCGTCGGTGGCTTAGTGGCAGAGCAGGTGCCCCATGTACAAGGTTGTTGCTGCAGCGGCCCGGGTTCGAATCCAGCCTGTGGCCCTTTGCTGCATGTCATCCCCCCTTCTCTCTCTCCCCCTTTTACACTTACCTGTCCTGTCCATTAAAGGCAAAAAAAAAGTGGAGCTGCATGATTATGGCCAACATGATAATCATGATTATTCTGATCAATATTGAGATCACGATTATTTATCACTATTGTTTATTGGTTTTAAAGACCTTTTTTTTTTATTGCACCGTCATATCAAAATCAACGGCTTTTACTTTACCATAGTTTTGAAAGAAAATAGTGTGGGTGTGCGCAGGTGCAAAGATGCATTCTGGGTGGGGCATGAGCGACTGGAGCGAAATTGAAGCGTGACATAAGGCTCCGCTCCACCTTTTTAAAAAAAATAGCCGCTCCTCACTCAACACAAAATCCTCCCGCTCCCCGCTCCACTCTGCTCACATGCTTTGGACTCCACCCACCAGTTCAGTGTCTCTGACAGTCTCCATCCATGTCAGTGAAAACATGGATGCTTCACACACATTAGATCTATACAATCAGCACAGTTTCAAGATAAGAGTCACCAATTCAGTATCTGACCAAATGTCTCCCCTTCTGTTCCTGAGATATGATGTTAAGACATGATGATGTCACAGTCACGCTGACCTTTGACCTTTTGACTTAAAAAATGTCACCACTTCATTGTTTTATTCTTTTAGATATTTGTGTGAAATGTTGTCAAAGCGGGAACTGCCCATTGGTTCGACAGCCCATTGTTCTGACCATATTAAACTTATTGTTCCTAAGTCCGTTCCGAAATCATCATGATGCCCTGTGGTTAAGGTCTGGTTAGGTTTAGGCACAAAAACCACTTGGTTAGGGTCAGGAAAAGATCATGGTGTGGGTTAAAATGAAAAAAAAAAGTGGCAAACACATAAGCCGTGAGCCTGCTCCGCCTCAAGCCGGTCGCGGCGCACCATACGCCCGCCGCAAGTCGTTCAGCACCACGGACAGTCGGACTAATGGGCTGTCGAACCAATGACATGGACCCGTCAAAGCAGTCTTTGGTGAGAAAATCATCACCTGAATATCAGAGAAACCCGAAACAGCTTCTGCTACCACGAACTGACCTGCACCTCCATCAGTGAATCCAGCCACATGCAGCATGTATCCGTAGGACTCTGGGTTGACGGAGAACAAGGAGTAACGAGCGAACACTTTGTTTCCATCAAAGTCCTCCATGTCGACCAGCAGCTCATACTTTTTCCTCAGAGTCAGGTGGAAGAGATTCTCAAGACCTGAACACAAACACAGACATAAACATTATAGAAACAGTCTGATGAAGTCGTGACTGTTAGTTTGGTTTCATGTCTCACCGAGCCAGTACTCTCCTGCAGCGACACCAAAGCCCATCTTGTAGTGATCCCAGGGCCTGTAGAAGTTCACCGAGCCGTCCATCCTCCTCTGGAACACCTGGAGGAACAGGATGGAGGGTTAACTAGTGAAACACACAAAGTATCAGACACCTCATGTTTCAGCACAACAAAGTACCAATGGTAGGCCTGTAACAGGAATCAGGCTGTGTGAACCCTGTTCAGGCACCGGGGCTAAGCTACGCTACAAACATCTGGTTAACAGGAAGTATTGAACTGAAGAAAGCTGTGGATAATTCAGCTCCCAGTAAAAAATCATCCTGAACAATAAACACTGAAGGAATTCTAACTAGGAGAAGTTTCAGCTGGTTGCAATCTGGAGTCATCACTGCTCCACACAACTAAATCCCACTAGACTAAACACTAGACTGCTCTTTTTAAGAGATCAGATAGTTAGCAGAGTTCACTTGGTAGAATAAATGAGGGCCTCTGATCAGTATGAACAGGTCCTGGAGTTAACTGGTGACCCAGATTTAGCAGCTGAATTAAAATACTCACTGTCCACCGTCCTTCTAGTGAGTCCATGTCACAGTACACCTACACACAAACACACAAACACACTCATCATAAACCTGATCCATTTGGACATACATGCTACATACATACATCACAGTGCATATATCCATTCCCATACACTCGGACATTCTCTGCCTGGACGTCCATTGAAATGCATTACAGAAAGTCAGTTTTGTTTGGTTTTATGAGCTTTTTCTGAGATTTGAAGTTTAAAAATGGTCAAACGGTGTGCATGGGGTACATGCAACTCTGACACAAGGTATCCTGAGAGGCTGGGCGACCAGGTGTATTTTTTACACTTTAAACCACATCTCAACCGAGAAAAGTGTCTCCTTTGGATAAAGTTGTGTGGTAACGTTAGACCACAACATCAGCTCAACGTGAATAAGATTAACAATGATGTCTACATCTGTTCTAAGGTAAGTCAACATTGTGTTTGAGGCAACATATTGTCACTTTGCTGGAAAGAAATATAAAGTTATCTTTAACATCTCTAGCTAACGTTAGCTAAAGTTAGCCTAACGTTAGCTCCTAGCTGCGTTGTTCATCATGTCACCTTGTTTGCTGGGAGTTCATTAGCCTATTTGGTTCTACTTTTGTACTTTGGTGATCGTACATCATTGTTAGCTGTTGTCCAAAGGGCTCTAGTTAAGCTAACGTTAACTTCTGGAGTTTAGCTTCATTAATTTATCTGTAATGGCAGAGATAACAAAGGTTGGCAAACGTTATGCTGAATGATTCAGTGTAAATACTGTAGCACCAAACTAACGGAGAGACACTCTTGGTAAAGATGGTAAAAAGGCCATTATCCTTTTCTCATATTCTGAGCCAAAAACCTTAACTTCAGTGGCACTTTAACTTGTTGTCTTTGATGGTGATGGCAACCAGATGCGGTTCACAAGCGTACACTGTGACCTGTAAATTTTGGCTTGTAATTTAAGCTTTTCATCGACCTTCTCAACAATAAAATGATGAATATATCCCTCCAATGCGTAGTTTAGGCCCTTTTGGTTACTTCTCAATGACATCTGATCATTATGTCCCCAAAAATCATCAACTGCCTCCTGTGAAATGCCGTGTACTGTGACACCTGCCATAGCGCCGGTCACTGAATGTTGATAGTTTGTCCGAGTGAGTGGAGGCGGGCGTGGCTTAGCCATAGGTCAGTTATACACTAGAAATAATCAGGACACTTGCTAAACTTAAAAATTCTTGAATGTCGTGTCAAATGTATTGATAAATTTAAAGTTACGTTAGGTTAAAAACTCACAATTTTCCTGCTGTTTGTAATAGCAGGGAGAGATGTGCCCATGGATGTATAAAGAGAAATGAAGACAACGTTGGAGATGGGGCCAGGGTCATTCCTATGAAAGCTGCTCAGTGGCACATGAAGCCAAAAACGTTCGACCTCCTGGATATAATATGACCTGGATCTCCCGCATTATTGGGCCCATAGAGCAAGCGCACGAGAGACTTCCGGTGGCTGGGAAGCTAACATTAGTGCTCCGTTAACTTGAATGGGGATAAAAAGATTTAATCTTGCGGCTCTTCTAGACTTTTCAAATGTTATCAGACAGAATGGATCAAATCCTGATAGTGAAACGAGTCATTTGCAGGGTTGTGATGCTAAAAAAAATGTATCCATTGATTTACGGACAGTGTTTGGCTTCTTACTCTAAAAATGTAATATATTACTCTTTACTCCTTTTGAAAGTAATTACATTACTTCACTTATTACTCCTGCCAACAGTAATTTGTTACACTACTCGTTATATTACTTTTCCATATACCCCATAAAATTGGTAGTTGCGCATCTCCCCAAAATTCTGAGGTGTGCCTTTGTACTTTTTTGTATTTCAAGTCAGTAGAGATTGGATAACAAAAGAAACCATGTAATGAGTTGTTTTGTTTTGGGGTAACTGTAATAATGTTACTGAAATTTTATTAGTGACTAGTTACACAACTGGTTACTGGAAAAGTTATATTATTACTGTTACTGCCCAACACTTTTTACAAATGTCTCTTTCGCCATGTATGTCTATGGGAAAAAGTCTCTTTGGGCCGCAGGGCATCACATGACAGACCCTTGAAATTGCAGTACCACTTACTGGACACTGTAAAAATTGGCTTCAAAGCCTGGTGCACTTCCTGTGGGCCTGGGCATGCAGTAAGTTAAAATTAATTAATGGCTAAAGATGGCGGCTAGCAAAATGCATTTTCCATTTGATTCATTTCTTGGCTCCTTGACACTTGATTTTTGTAATGTAATGTCTCAAATTCAGGTTCTTAAACACTGTACATATAAGAAAAGAGTGCTTTGGGTTACAGTATGTAATGTGTATAAATATTTGGCGCTCTGCCGCTCTCTATTATCCCTGTTCAGCAGTGAGCTGGTACTGCAGCAGGGAGCTGTGAGCTACACTAATTGCAACCAGGAGATTTATTTGCTGGTTCAGTCTTTTTGTTTATTTAGTTATTTTACAGCAGTAATTGTTTAATGACATTGTTGATCTCACTGTCTCACATGTTGAAGACAGTGTACCTGAAGTGTACCTGGACAGCAGACGTGGCTCCGAAGACTGATGCCAGCTGGAACAGAGAAGAAGTCATTTTGTTTCGTTAAGAAAACATGGTTTAGAATTGGAATATTTTTGACAAACTCTGCTGTGCTGATATCGTACCCAGTCTGGGTATTTAGCAGGTGCCTCCCACATTTAACCCGAGTGTAGCACTGCAAGAACATTCTGCAAAGCAACATGCACGCCTTTTCTTTGCATGTTTAAAATCTGGGGCCACAAATGATTAAACTGTGTTTACAAAATAAAGACTTACCAGTTGAAATAAGTGTTGTGGAGAAGGACAGAGGAGAGTAGGGCTGAGCCAGCACACCATTACCTGTGTCTGTATCTGTACTCGAAATCAGACCCTCAGGAAGTGCGACGGACTTTGAAGTCAAGTTTCGTAGTGGCCAAACAGTGATACTGCAATTTCCAGAGTCCATCACGTGATGCTACTGGGTCCAAAAGACTTTTTTCCCATAGACTTACAGTGTGAAACAGACATCTGTATCTGGATACGTTTTTCTGAGCATCACAACCCCCACGAAATGACTCGTTCCACTGTTAAGATTTAACCCATTTAGTCCAGTAACATTTTGACAGTGCTGATCATCTGAGTCATTTCATACAGTGGAAAAGAGCTTTTCTGGCTTCATGTGCCACTGAGCAACTTTAATGGGAATAAATGGGCCTTGTCGTCATTGCTGTATCCAAGCCTCTTAACACATCCATGCTTGGAATCGGCAGAGTTTAAACCAACTATAGGTGTGGTATAACCTTAAAATGGGTGTGGCCAAAAATAAGTTGATATTTTAGCCTGAAATTGTTGTGGGTTGATCAGAAGTTGTTGCATTTATCATTTATTATAAAACTACTTACAGAACAATCCCTGATCATTTTTGATCACGAGAGTTTGAACACAGTGACCCAGATGAGGAGTTTCCTTTATTATGAGTTCAGATATTGACACATTTTCACTATCTGTCAACCCAGTGACTAAGATTTTACCTTTTACTGTTAAAAAAAAAAGTGTCTCTGAGGTGATAAATAAACTCAAGTTTAATGAAAACATATGTACGTAGTGCTGCGTAAATCTAGTCCTGGAGTGAAATATACAGAAATGAGAATAAAATTAATTGTAAGTAACTAAATATTTTAAATTATCATACTGAATCTGTTAACTTGCTAAAAAAATAATTGAGTGAAACTGTCAGATATATGAAGTTACAAACTTACCGTCATGGTCAGATTTCTGCTGAAGTGATCTGATGAAAGTCCAGATGTAAATGTGTGTCTGAATGTTCTGATGTCTCTGTCTTCTATTTATACTCCAAAGATTAATAGATTACTGAACAGCTGCTGTTTCACAACAAAACAATAAACACATGGAAACATACGATCTTGAGTTTGTGTGTGCTGTTGTATTAATTAACATTGATGGCACCCAAACCTGACACCATACTGTGGGGACTCGCTCCCATTAAAGGACCAAAGAGGCAACTTTTTAACTTCTGATTTATATTGTAGCTTGTTTGTTCAAACTCCACACAGAAGGGCTCCCCCACCCCAGGTTGTGGTTTTAATTTACGCTTTGTGTCCACTTTATTAGGTACAGCTGTACAGTCTAATAGAGTCCAAACAAACTGTCATAAAGTTGACTTTTATGAAGCCAATAACAACATTCAGTTTTATTAGGACTAATTTCAGTTATATTGTAGCAGGCTTGTTTGTTTAGTTTGCAAGAATAAGGTGAAGAGATGAACTGTGAACCAGGAAATGCTGTCATATCCACACAGACGAGAGGTCACTAACCATGTAATCTCTCAAGACAGATTCTGCAATTTACATTGTAGAATCTGTCGGCAGCCCTGTGTGAAAGACGACTAGAGTGGGGGGGGACTTTGAGTCCGGCTTTAGCCAATCACAATGGAGGGGGCGTGGCCGAGACGTGCAGGTGTCCCCAGGAGATGTGTACCTACAGAAACAGCAAGCTCTGCGTCCATAGCGACCGCTCCACCCAAAACACCGTCTCATCAACGTGAAAAATTATATTTTTTCCAGCGGATGTCTTAGTTACAACATGATTGAGCTAACTGGAGTAGTTTCATGTCGTATCCGACAACGGGAGGCTTTTAACAGATGACGTCCTGACGTTAGCTTTGCTGCTGCTGTTAGCTGTCCCTGTCAGCTGCAGCCACTGATGCTTTCTAGACATCGTGATTTCCCCTAACTGAATAAATACCACACATAGCAACACAAAACTGCTTTGCTAGCTCAATCATGTTGTAACTAAGATATCCGCTGGAAAAAATATTTTATTCATGGACCATTTATTGAGTTATTACCTTATCTTTATACAGTCTATGGTTATTACAGACACCGCTAACGGCTAACGTTAACAGCTAACGGTTAGCCCAGCTAATCTACGATAACCATGTTAATTACAAAACGTGCACACAGAAATAGTAACGTTTGTTCAATCATTGTGTTTATAGACTTAACAAACATCACATTAGTCTACACGGTGATATAGTGACGTGAAAAATGTGATATATATATATATATATATAGCTAAACTCTGCTGGTTTTCTACCTGGAAGTATTTTTAAACAACATGGTGATTCCCTGGGGGCACTGCCGGAGGTGAAGAGCGTGAGGCCCCTGCACTTCCGTTAGTCGAAAAACTCTGGGCTGTGCCTCCAGAGGTAAAGGAAGAAAAATTTATTTTTATTTATTTATTTTTTTTTACCGATGGATTTCCAGATTGCTAACCATGTGACTTAACTCACGGTGCAAAATGTCTTTGATCACGACATTAAGTGGAACATTAATGTTGTTGCATTGCAACAATTTTAAACTGGGAAACTCCACCAACTTGGCCCTAACACACCACAATATGTTTTATCACTGAGGTCATGGTTTGTGGTGTTGTATCATATTTGGAGGGGTTTCTAATATTCTGACCTCCTCATGTATGAAAACAGGGAGGACAAAATAATAGAAACAGCCTTCAACATAATGTAGTCCAGTTCAGCAACAACCTCTAAGGCTGAAAAATGAATTTAATGTCGAAGCACCTGGAGGAAACCCACGCTGACACAGGAAGAACATGTCGGAGTACCTGGAGGAAACCCACGCTGACACAGGGAGAACATGTCAGAGCACCTGAGGAGACCCACGCTGACACAGGGAGAACATGTCGGAGCACCTGGAGGAAACCCACGATGACACGGGGAGAACATGTCGGAGCACCTGGAGGAAACCCACGCTGACACGGGGAGAACATGTCGGAGCACCTGGAGGAAACCCACGCTGACACTGGGAGAACATGTCAGAGCACCTGGAGGAAACCCACACTGACACGGGGAGAATATGTCAGAGCACCTGGAGGAAACCCACACTGACACGGGGAGAACATGTCGGAGCACGTGGAGGAAACCCACACTGACACGGGGAGAATATGTCGGAGCACCTGGAGTAAATCCACACTGACACAGGGAGAATATGTCGGAGCACCTGGAGGAAACCCACGCTGACACAGGGAGAACATGTCAGAGCACCTGGAGGAAACCCACGCTGACACAGGGAGAACATGTCAGAGCACCTGGAGGAAACCCACACTGACACGGGGAGAACATGTAGGAGCACCTGGAGGAAACCCACGCTGACACGGGGAGAACATGCAAACTCTGTGCAGAAGGGCTCCCCCACCTGGGTTCTAACCCCCCAACCAAAAAACCTCTTGCTGTGAGGTGACAATGCTAAGCACTGCACCATCGTGCTACAGGACAATTGTCAAAACTTATCAAAGTGTTCATTTGTGAAGATTATCCTGCAGAACAAAACGCGGAAGAATTGTAAAAATTTGTTTAGCACAGAGATTACTTTCTGCAATCATCCAAAATCCAATAGAAAGATCCCATAGGCTTTGACGAGGTAACCAGGACAACGCTAACTTCTGTGTCGGCCTACAGATATCAGTCACCCCTGCAGCACTCTATAATAATGAAAGCTACATAACAAAAAATCAGAAGTGAGAGACACAACTGGTGATAGCAGTCACTCAGGTGTAGTTCTGTGACAACTGAGCAAACTCTATTTGATGATGAGGATCATGTGATTCGGTCAAAAGCTCTGGAACAACTGGACCTTGATTTGAGACTGTTTTATAAGCCGTTGTGCTGTTTTCAAGGTCGAAAATGAACTGTCTGTCTAAAAAACAAAACAGCCTGATGAATTTATTACCTGTATAATCTGTTATCTGCAGTCATTGATCTGTAATCTACAGTCTGAGTGACGCTCTGGTGAGGGACCTTTGGAGTCAGAGGAAAATACCTGTAGACTGTTTATCAGTTAGATAACAGCTGAACTGCTCCGCTGGATCTGAGCTGGTACACAGATCAGACACACTCAGCTCAAACACACTTTCTTTTCTGGTTTTAACCTGCAGGTGAGTTTGATTATGTTGTTTCTACTCAGTTTCTGATGATTTCAGGCCTGACTTTCCTCTGTGGTTTCCTGGAGTCCAGGATCTTGCTGTGGCTCAGTGAAAACAGACCAGCTTTTCAAAATGTAGGGAAGTTATTTTTTCATCATGCAGCTGGGCAACTGTTTAACGCTGCAGTCCTGTCTGACTTCAGGTTTCAGTGGTGTAAATTTAAACAGATGCTTCGTGTCTTAATGTGAAGAAGGTTATAATATCCTCATTGCTTCACTCAGATCTGATGTTTCACATGCTTCATATCGGCCATCCTGTGTTTACGTTATTGTGAGTCCATTTGTTTTTTATCCACAACTTTTACACCTCACACAGGAAACACTTTTGGTGGTTTCCTCACCGAATGCTCTCTGATTGGATGCTGCCACAGTTGATGATGTGGTCACCAACTTAAACGTTACTAAGGGCCCTTTACACCTACCTGTCAGACTTCTCAGTTCAGTCCAAAATTACAGGTGAAACCTTCCAGGCTGACAGTCCGGACCAAACCTCGGTCCGTTCAAAAGA